AAAATAGTTAAAATATCATCTGCAACGTCGGTACCCATTTCTTTTAGTTTATCTAAAATATTCATAAAGAAATTAAGATGATCTGCCATATCTTCGTTTGCCTTCATTTTTGAGAAAATAAGTTTCTTTAATAATGTTGCTTTTCTGGCAGGACCCTTAGACTGATAAATTTCTTGAAGTTTAACCCATATCTCATTCGATGTCTCGCAGTATTTAATATGGTATAGTTCGGTGGGTTGAACAGCTAAAATAATATCTGCTCTAGCTTTCTGGTCTGTTTTCTTCCACTCTAATGCTTAATTTGCATCATTTGGCTTCTTGACTTCACCAATAACATGACTCCAATGGTCGATCTTTATTAGGATAGCTTCTATCTGGATTTTCCAGGCATCAAAATTACCTTTCGACAGCTTCTCCACTTGTATGAAATTTGATGCCATCATTATTTTTAGAATAACCTGCTGTGTCTCAGGAATAATAAACTGGGCCCGTAACCTGTTGGGTAAACGCAGAGGAAAGACTGGGAGCTTCCGTAATAAAGTTTATTTGACAAGCTATACATAAAAATTAAATTGAGAACTTTCAGACTAGTAAACTAAATAACTAGTGAACTAAATACATAAAAATTATAACTCTCATTAATTCTAACATTGATAACTCTCATGAATTTTAACATTAGTATTACATAATAACATGATAACCAGTTGATAACCTTGAATTGCATCATGCTTACCTCGTCGAAACTTAAACGCTTAAAATTGTATTGAATCAAAATGAAAATTATTGTAACCTTAACGCATTAAGCCGAATTGGCGGAATGTTTGCAAATCAATAATCCGAGAAACGCTAAAATGGTGGTTTCCACCTTATCGAGACTGAGACCCACAAGGGTAAACTCGTAGCGTAAAAAAACGAGAAATGATTTAACTGGAACGAAAGACCGAAAGCCGACGTTGAATTTTCTGGTTTGTGAAGCATTGGCATTACTTAGGGTCAAACCATGTGATGATTTTGACAAGCCTTGATTTTGAAAACCATCCTATATCGCCTTTTGATTATAGTTTACAAACTTGTTCGAGCAATTTATCCAATAATAATTGGCTCCTTTACCTCTTAAGCTTGCTCATGTAAAATATTTGGGCCCCTTACTTCGCCTATTTATCTAAAAATATTTGGCCTCTTTTAAATATGTCCATATAAAATTATATGATCCCTTTAGTCCCTTAGATCTGTTTATGTTAAAATATTCGCACCCATTCTTGCTTAATGTGATTACAGCACCCGCTTCTAATTTTCGGACAAGCATATCTCGAAAAGTGATTTTTTTCTAATTAAAATTTTGCCAAAATAAATTAGGCAATAATATCTAAAATGTGCTTATATTTTAAAGTTTTAATTATTTCCAGTTTCCAAGAAAAAAAAAATCAAAGGGCTTTAAATTTTGAAATATCATAATGAAAATAAATGCATTCCTCAACAGCAGTATTCTTAATATAATCCCCAAATTCAAGCTCTTAATCTCTTGTTAATTATTTTTTTAAAATTCGCCGAAATTAGTGGCTAAAACGCCTCGTTAAGTGCTGCTTTCTAGTGCAACGCATCTGTAACTATCGTATCGTACACTCTGAGTCATCATTCGTTTCTTGCCACGATTTACACCAGTTTACATCAGAAAATAATTATTTTTGACATAACATTTCCATGCGCTTTAAAAAGCACTTCTATAATTTATTTCCAGTCACATCTGACGATTTATTTATCCATTTTGATTAAATTGTAGTACATAATAATTAAATATACATATTACATCATCTATAAGGTAATAAAGTACTTTTAATTTTATTATTACTTATTTGTATTATCCAAAAGTTTAAAACAAGTGAATTTATTTGGTTGACAAAATGACACCAGCTAGCAAAATTTAAAAGACTACTATCAACAAAAGCATATCTGAATTAGTTCAATTTGTGTTGGGTTAACTGTGACGTCACTCGGTGAATACTTTAAAAGTAATCCCATTTGAAACGTACATAGATACACCCTTTTTTCAATTACGACGTTCAAACATTTTTAAATTCAGAAGATCATTTTGACCCAGAGAGATAATTATATACATTTAAAAATTATAGGAGTAAATAAATAGGCAGGTAGTAGGTAATAAATTTAAATACTATGCCCATGTTATCTAAACATTTTTTTAATTAAGAAATATTGAGAAATTTGAAATGTTAAGGTATATGTCGAAATTTATATACAAAAAGTAACTGTAACACACTAATATTTAGATTCCTGATAGGTTTGCAAAACAATTTTGAATAAAATTTTATAAAATGAATTGAATTAAATTCGCGCGAATTTCGAAACGATGGCCGGGGCGCTCGCTTCGCTCGCCCTCCTCTGTACTGGTTAGGATGTGGGGGGAGGAGCGTAGCGTGATCTTATAATGTGAATGGAAAAAAGGCACGTCGGCCAGGCGCGCTCGCTTCACTCGCTCTCCTCTGCAGTGGTTTGGAGGTGGGTGGGAGGAGTGTAGCGTGATCTTATGGAGAAACTGTTGCCACGGAAACGCTTGTCATGCTAACGACTAAACAAATCCCGTAGTGAGAAAATGCCTAGTTGCCAAGTTATACATGGTTTTATTTTCACTTTAATTTAGATTGAGATATTATGTTAAGAGTTAATCTAAATATATTTCCTCACCATCGGATTTAGGTTTTTGTTCAGTCGACATCACGACAAGTATTCCTATAGCAACGGTTTCTCCGTAACCGACTTCAGCTACACTAAAGTGAAAATTAAATGACCTGTAACTTGTCAACTATGCATTTCCTTGCCACGGGAATGGGGTTTTTGTTTAGTCGTTACTATGAAAAATGTCTCTATGGCAACAGTTTCTCTGTAACTGATTATTGCTAAATTAACTCATCTGTAACTTGGCAACCACACATTTCCTCACCACGGGATTTGTTTTTTGTTTAGGCATTACTATTTCAAGCGTTTCCATGGCAACAGTTTCACCACAACTGATTACGTCTAAAATAAAGTGAACATTAAATGATCTATGACTTGGCAACTATGCATTTCCTCACCACGTGAATTGGGTTTGTGTTTACTGTTTACTGGTTACAATGGCAACCTCAAATTCCGTTTAGAAATCCTCAAACTTAAATTAAATTTTATATATGACATTATATGAAAGGTTACCACGGTATGTATGACGTCACCACAGTAACCACAATACTGTAACCAAGTATGTTGTGGTAAGCTTTTAAAGAAATGCCTTAAAAATATCCACCGAGTGACGTCACAGTTAACCCAGCACAATTTGAACTAATTTAGCTATCCTCTTCTTGATAGTTCTCTTTTAACTTGGCTGGCTAGCGTCATTTATCAAATAAATAAATTCACTTGATTCAAAAAAGATTTAAAAACTTTTGGATAACCCAAAGTATGTTTCAAAGTTTTTGAAAAGTACATTGTTTATTACTTTGTGTGACCGGAAATAAATTAATAGAACTGCTTTTAAAAGAGTATGGAAATGTTATGTCAAAAATAAGGTATTTTTTATATTTCTTTTTTTGTTGATTTTAATTGGACACTTGACAATACCGCGCTAATTTGTATTGACAGAGCATGACAGATATAATTCTAAATTCTAATGAATGTTAGGAATGTTAGAAATGATCGGAATGCGTAAAATAAGTCGCATTGAAATGCACAGGCGGATTTTAAGAACATTGATATTAAAGTAGTTAGGATGAACCGAAAATTCTGAAAATCAATAGGGTTCTAAGTTAGAAGCAATTATTTAAGAAAATCAAAACCGCAAGTCAATCAGAACTTTCGTTCTAGAGTTATAGTGCCGGCATATATAGGAAGGGCCTCAGATTTTTTTTTATAAAAAGTAGAATGTCCGTTTTATCTCTAAATTTAAAAATAAACAAACAACAAATTTTAGCTACTACTACGCTAGAGCCAGAGGATAGTAAAGTGTTTCGTGTTATTCATTGGTTTATAATTTTCTGGATTGTACAAAAATGGTTTAACTATTGCTGAAAGAGTTGAAATTATTGCAATATCCTATTTAAATAATAAGTCTGGATACAGATGAGATGAGATTTTTAACCAACCGGCATCCAGACAAGCATGTCAATCGAAAGTATATGTCGTCGAACTAGGGCAAAAATTTACCCACACTGGTTAGGCACTTAACAAAAAGCGTGATATTGTAAATCCTAGTCCAGCAGACAAAGCGGTATTCGTAGTAACACATTCCATGCGCGCATGTGTATACCGGCCCGTACAACAAGAAGATGAAGCAATGACTTCTTGTAGGATGGCGGCGAAGCAGAAAATATCAATCCATACCTGACTACGCCGACCGGCATAGACTCCAACGGCTCCAACAGCTGAATTTGAAATGAATAGTCTCACATTACATTATATTCTCTTATTATCATCTGCGCATGCGTAAGCATGGATTGTGTTACTACGAATACCGCCTCCTATGAAGCAGCGGAAGTATAGAAGTTGCAAAGGCTTTTCGCAGTTCTCTCACTTCATAAAATTGACAGTTTTGCCGCGGAGCTAAACGAAGTGGACGCAACACATTGGCGTGCAAAATTATTTTACAATGTTAATAACAATTTCGGGTAAAAAGGTTAATAAATTGTGAATAGCTGTTAAAATTTTGTAGAATTTTGAATTGGGACATTATAATACCTGCTTAATAATTATTTCTATTCCATAAATACATGCGATTGTCCGATTCCGCCCCCGTAACCATTTATAATTACTTATTCTATGAAACCCCACTGGAAGATGAACATTACCTACCAAAAGCCTTTTCAACTTCTGCCCCTGCTAGAGCTGTTATAGGTCACGTGACTCAAGATCAAACTTTAAGTATAGCTTAGTATGTTCTTGTTGATCTGGTGTTCCGCCAATTATGCCCAACCCTGTAGGTACATCAAATAAAAAACAGTACTTTTCTTTTATAGGAAACGCATCATTCGCAACTATTGAAAACTTGAAGTATTTAAGCACAACACAGGCGTTAGCAGATTTTGCGTTTCTCATTGATGCTTTGAAGAAGAAATTTTTTCAAAAAGCTGAGCCGCCATTTATCGCTTTCGGAGGACACTATGGTGGAATGTTGGCAGCCTGGTTAAGATTGAAGTATCCACATTCAGTTGATGGAGCTATAACTTCGTCCGCACCTATTTTATACTTTCCCGAGCTCACTTCTTGCGAAGGATATTATAAAACGGTTACGCGAGTTTTCAAAGTTTATGGAAAGGAGAAATGTGTCAAAACAATAAAGCTCGGATGGGAAGTAATCTTAGACCTAACTAAATCAAATTTAGGTAAGTTTAGGTTTGCATTTCTTTTCAATTTCAATTATAATTACCGCAAAGCGGGGTTTCTTTGCACTTATACGGGTAACTTTGCACCAATGCTTTAAAAGTATGTTTCTGTCAACCACGCAATCTATTTTATTTTGTTGCTCCGGCAACCCTGCCTACCGATATTGATAGCGTCTTCGAATCTAGTGCACGGCTTGCACTGAGTACATACGAAAGGTGGGAGATATGTCAATACCAGTTACTTTTCAATCTGAAATGTAACCGGTATCGATATATCGCTCATCTTTTATGTGCACTCCATGCAGGCAGGGCAGTGGAATCGAAGACGCTATTAGATACTCCAATATGTCATACTAACCGACATGACATCGTGTAATAGCATCAGTCTTTTGTCATTTTCCCCGCCAATTATAACCTTAAATTTTTGACGTTTTAGAGCTGTGCAAAATCTTATTGATACGAAGTCGGCAATTGATAAATGCTGGTAAGTACATAATCAATCGCATATATCTATAATCTTAATAAATGTACCCATTTAAATAAAGTTTTTTTTATTAAAAAATGTGATTACGAGATAGTTTGTCTGCATCTGCATTTTTTCGGCAAAACATTTTTTTACTTAGATAAATATTTTTACCTTATATTTTCTGGTTTCAGGGATGTCGCGGCAGTATAAAAGAAAATTAGGCTCACGGAAATATGCAGATTATACATCAGAAGATTTAAACAAATGCCTGAACGCCTTAAAATCAGGTATGAGTTTCCAGAATCGCAGCAGAGATTTACAAAATACCTCGTCGAACTATTTTCCATAAACTCAAAGGGTTGCACTCGAAAAAACCTGGATATCCGCCTACGTTTTCTTATGAAGAAGAAAGGTGTTTCGTATCATGCATTCATAATCTAAGCGATTTTGGATTTCCTGCGACACATAATTAAAGCCTACTTAAATCGCCAAGGAAGGAAAGTAGCACGCTTTCGGGAAAATATGCCGGGTAAAGATTGGGTTAAATCTTTTCTACGTCATCATAAGGACCTTACAGCGAAGCTAGCATTAAACATAAAAAGAAATAGAGCAGCGCTTCGTGAAGACCAAATGAGAGAATACATTCAAAATTTAAATGAAACATTAAGTAACGTTGAACCACAAGCTATATTCAATTATGATGAGACGAACCTTACCGATGACCCCAGGCAAAAGAAAGTTATAACCAAATGTGGTGTGAAATACCCAGAGCGAATATGTAATTCCTCAAAAAGCAGCATCTTCCTAATGATAGCAGGGAATGCAGCTGGGGAGCTTCTCCTCCCATATGTGGTGTATAAGTCTAAGCACTTGTGGGATAGATGGACTGAAAATGATCCACCAGGGGCGCGCTATGGAAATACTTCATCTGGATGGTTCGAATCCCAAACTTTTGCAGATTGGTTCAGCACTATTATGCTGCCAAGGCTAAAAAAAATTGAAGGCAAAAAGGTGCTATAGGGGACAATTTATCCTCAAACATAAATGTTGAGGTCTTAGACTCTTGTAGAAAAAATGACATTCATTTCATGTGTTTTCCAGCTAATAGTACGCACGTAACTCAACCCCTAGATGTGGCTTTATTTGCACCATTAAAGAGAGCGTGGCGAGAAATTTTATTAGGGTATAAGGAAACGCAATTAGGAAGTAGATCAAATGTCCTCGAGAAGCAGCATTTTCCAGCCTTATTGCACTCTTTGATGATGAAAATAAGAGAAAACTCCTGTAAAGTTTTAAAGGCGGACTTTAAAAAATGCGGCATCAATCCTTGGGATGTGACTCCGCTATTGGAACGATTAATTTAGACTCACCAGTATAAAATAAGAACCAGTGACGTGGTAAATGATGATTCTAATACCCCACGATCGCTTAACATTGAACATTCTTTTATTCAATACTTAAAAAATAAAAGACACAGTTTACCACTCGTGGAAAGAAAAAAAGTTAACAGTTCCCCCCGGGCAAAGCATTGCTCATGCTGAAATTCAGCTTACTGATATAAATCAACCAACATGCTCTACTGCAACAAATACTAAGGAACCTGAATATACTTTAGAAGATCTTTCAAATTAAGGTACACAATCTGATGAGCATCAACCACAATTCGGAGATTCATCAGATGATGAAATCGATGATGTAAAAGAATTTGAAGAGGAGACTGAGTTTAATCAAAAACTTGTATCGGGTACTTTGGGATTAACAAATGTTGCAAAGATTAAACAAAGCGGATTAAGGACCGATTCCACCGTTGTGTTAAACGAAGTTTAAAGTGACATTTTTACATTAACAATGTCGTTTTAATCTCCGTTTAACACAACGGTGGAATCGACCCATAAAGATATTACAAAAACTATTGGTCAACATGTTTTATTTATTTACGAAGAAAATGTATATCCCGGAGTTATAACAGCTTTAGATAAGGACGGAGCTATGATTATTGCTATGGTGAAGTCGTTAAAATACTGGAAATGGCCCGAAAAAAAGACGAAATATGGTACACCTGGGACAAAATAATCGGTGCAATAAATCCACCCAAGAAAATGTCGAAGCGTGGCTTATTTTCTGTCCCAGAATGTGATAAGTTATGGTGGGAGTGATGTTTACTTGATAAGTTTCAATTTTGTACAATGTCAGAACTAAACTTAAGTTAATTTTGAATTATTTTAACCCTTTTTGTAAGCAATAAAGAAAAAACATTAAAAATGTCTATTAAATATTGGAATGCAATTTAAAAAATATAGTTTTAGATGTATTGTACATTTACGGTGACGCAAAGTTAGTGTTTACGCAGTATTTCATGGCACCAATAGGGGATTACTGCGTGAAATGCTAAATGGTGCAAAGAATGACCATTCTAAGGTATACTTTGCACCACCATTTAAATTAGTTTTTTGCTTTTATATAGTAACTAATTGGCTCAAAAATGTACTGAAGATCATTTCATAAGCTGTAAAATGGCTACCAATTATCAAATAATTAAATTACTGTTAAGTACTTTTTAAGCATTATTAAAAAATTTACGTCAAAAAGTGGTGCAAAATAACCTTACTTTACGGTATCTTTATTTCGAAGGATCTATATGGGTTAACATATTGTATGTATCCATCATTTTTTTATATCAGTCACGTTCTATATTTTATTGTTTCCTAATTCTAACCCATTGAATACAACTCTTGAATTATCGATTATATTTTTGACCTAATTCGTGTTTCATGTGTTTTTCAATTATAAATACATCACAATTTATTGTTTCAGGCAAGGATTACATTTCTTCAACATGGAAACTTTGCAATAAACTAAAAACACCAGAAGATGTTGACATATTTTTAGATTGGTTAGCCAATGTCTACATCAAATTGGCCATGGTAAACTACCCATATAGTTCTGAATACTTCGAACCAGTTCCAGCCTTTCCTGTGATGGTTTTTTGCAACAAACTTACCTCTAATTATGTTAATAACACAAAAGGATTTATTCAAAATTATGCCGAAGCTTTGCAAATGATCACTAATTATACAGGCCAAACAGATTGTATCAACATTTTCTATAAACAAGAAGATTCCAATGAAGTTGCTTGGCAGTACCAAACTTGTACAGAGTTGATAATGCCCAAATGCTCAACCGACGAAGACATGTTTTTGACAAAAAACTGGAATTATCAACAATTTGCTCTTAATTGTTACAAACAATTTGGAGTTAGATCAAGACCTAACGGACCTTTGACATATGGAAAAAATGTGGACTCTTATTCGAATGTAGTCTTCAGTAATAGCATGTTAGATCCAGGTGCATGGGGTGGTGCTTATCTAAAGTCTGCAGATACATTAAATGACTCCGTGTTGACTTATCAAATTATCGATGCTCCACACCTTATGGACCTCAGAGGATCTGATTCTGCTGATGATAATAATATCGTGACAGCAAGGAAGTTTTATATATCAACTATTAAAAAGTGGCTTAAACGGGGTTAGGCGATCTAGTGATAAATCAGACGATGAACATGACTTAAACTATTAATATTTTTTAATTTATTTGGGTACCTAATTATTAAAATACAAGAGTGTCTAATGCATGTCTCCCAAATGTTGAAAATTGTAAAATACAATAATATTTATGTCAAAATTCTTAGTGCATAAAATAAAATGTATTAAACAGGATTAAACATTAAAATGTTTAAATATATTGATTTTACAATAGATTTTTCAACTGTGCATATGTCAATTTGTCAACAATTTGTTAACAAATTAATTTTGCTAGTATGTATTAACGAGAAATATGGAAACAATACTTATTTTTACGTTCTGGGTTATTAAGGAATAATCAATTGAACGCTGTTCGTTTATCACACTTATATTTCGGCACTTATACAACTTTAATATTCCCGACATACGTTTATCAATACATGTTATTATCTTGCCAGCCGGAATCAGAGAGCGTCCTATTCACCTGCCTCGCTTAACCAAAGCTCTGTGCATGTGCGCTTACCGAGTCTACAGTACTTTTGAACTTTTATACCCACATAACATCAATGTTCTATGAATATACCAAGAACGTTCTGTTTAAGTTCTTTTAAGTATATCCTTTTAGAATGTTCTTAGAACATACCTAGAATATACTTTGAAAGTATATACTGAGTACGTGCCTTAAAAGTATGTTCCAAAAATATATACTGAGCACGTGCTGTAACAGGATATTCTTAGAAGATACTAAAAGTCATATACCCAGCATGTACCTCATATTCTGAGAATGTTCTAAATGCTTGCAGGTAAAAATTAACACCAAATACATGTAAAAACAAGTTTATATACATATCTACATGAATTTTTCCCAGATGCCGATCTAATAATTCGCTACCAAACGCACTAATGTTGAATGTTTAGGCCAAAAAACATTCTCAAACTAAAATAGAAGAAAGCAAGAAGAATAACATAACCTACAATTCCTACAAATTTTTTTGATCTCGACTGTTTGTAAGAGGTAAGTCAAATAAACATTAATTGCATCGTATGTTCTATATAAAAATAAACAAATTTTACTATATTTATAGTTTTTAGGGCCTATAAGTGACGTTAGAATACAGGATATCCCAAATATTAATTGCCAGTGTGAATTTATTAATAGTTAATACTAATGGTGGATTGAAACTAAAATACAGTGTTACCAGAATTATACATACACACTTTCTGAAAAAAATCCTGTAAGGCCAGATATTGACCTGGAAGAACTAGAAAAGTTAGCTAAAGGAGGACGAAAACTACAAAATGGTGGTAAGTAATTAACAAAAATATATTTAAACTTTCAGTAAACATCATAATCATTTATTTGTTTTTGTTAGTGGAATGCCATGTACAATTTTTAATGTTTTATGTTCGACAAAAATATTTAAAATATTCCATTAGCTATGTACACTTAATTTGTATATGTACCAAGTTTGTTAATTTTTTTTATTTTTTAGGTTCAATGAAGATCCAATGGAATCAAGCAAATGAAACTCTGTTCGGTTTCAAATGACTCAAAGACGGTCCTGAACTTTTTTAAACTCTCGCGCCATCGTTGATGTAACTGTTCGGTGCGCGGCGCTTGTGTCAGCCTCGAATCGGATTGAATCGACATGTGTCGTGCTCTCATTTGTGTGCTTCGTCTCTGCCAACGACATTTTTTTAATGATTATAATTTTGAATTCCATGAAACATTGTCTGTTGTCTTTGATAACTAAAGTTGTTAATTTACAAATTGTACGTAGTTCAATAAATGTTCTTTAGTGTTCTTTACCTATAAACTCAATTGGTCCTTCGTTTTTTATTTACATATTGTGGTTTACAACCTAAAAAACTTGTGTTGTATCACGGTACCCGACAAACTCAAGTCATTGATACAATAAAATATTGATTGGTTAAGGCCAAAGATAGTATTTGTAATAAAAATAAGTATGATTCTTTGAAATAAAGACTCATTATATACACTTAATTTTTAATGTTCAATATTAATTTAACATCCTATATTAAGGTGTCTATATAGTATATGCCTAGCATATGCTATATTTAAATACTTAGCATATACTTAGAAAGTACTATCAAATTAAAGTAGATACCTGTTGCATACTGTACATACTTGAAGAACATTCTCAGTATCTGCGTAGCACGTATAAACAACGTCACGTAGCATATGCTTAGCATATTCTGAGAATGTACCAAATGCAAATACAGTATATTCTCAGCATATGCGTATTCTTAAAAAGTATATACTAAGAATATGCTAAGAATGTATAATTGTTATCTGGGTATGTCCTTTTACTACTTAACACTTATGAATTTCGTTTAACAATAGACTACAATCGTTTACCGTTAATCTAGTCTTCATAATACAGACAACTCTACAAGCTATCAAACAATTTGAAAGTACTCATATGAAGTTACGTACTACAAAACACTAACAGAAATGATTATAAACTGAGTCACCTCACACTGCGTGCAAATATTCGCTATTATTCATATCTGTGTTTTATAGAAACTCACGGTGATTCACCTCATACGAGACCTCACCTCACCAAACTGCGTCTCAACTTGCGCTTGGCCTTGGAGAATATGATATTGCAATTTAAGTGAAAATTACTGTTAAAAATTATTGCTTTCTTTGGCGTTGCTAATCCAAAAGATAACTTTTATCTCCTTGTACATAAATGTAAACTTTTGGGGGTTTGGCCACCTGTATATTCATCGGCTTAGACCGGTACGAAAGAACTATAGTTATGTTATGCACCATGGATATAAACTTCTTATCCAGGAAAATCAAACACTGATGAACGGGACATTGATTTAAATTAAGAAACGATGAAACATTTTTTCTTACAGACGAAATACCACTGACTGATTCATCAGATCTCCAAAATTATAAGCCCAGTTGACTTGAAATTTGGCAAAGTTACTCCTTTCTCGACGTAGCCCAGCTAGCACATAACGTTGCCAAGCCTTTCGGCGATGTTGCATTAAGGGAACGTAATAACATTACTATACAACGTAAATGCAACGTTCATGAGAAGTTGTTGAGGGAAATCAAAACCTCGCAAAACTTCTATTTGTTATTTACCTAGTTAACCTACCGTAAACATTACAAATCTGAATTCAGAACGTTTAGTTTTATGTCCATTGTCACTTGTCAGTTTTTCTTGTCAATTGTCTTTTTTAATGGTTTATTTTTCGACATCCAGAATTTATTTTATAAATAATTATTATTTATACATTCGAATAGATTTGGTAAGGGTCCTCTATAAAATAGATAAATATTTTCTAAACCATTGTCTTTGTTTCAGATTACAATGCCTGATGTAAATTTATTATTTCATTCATTAAGTATCTTTAGCCGTCGATGCCGATGACACCAAATAAAAAAAAACTACAATAAATACAAAGAATTGCAGATCAATCGTTGTAAACCAGAAGATAAACATTTAACCGAATGTCCGGCAACATTTTACACCAAATACTTATAAAAGGTAATTATACTTTATCGAACTAAAAATACATTTTAAAAATATTATTTTTTAGGTTTCCTTCGACATTCTAGGAATTTTAGAAGCAAAAGTAAATACTACAGAAGTGTAAAGAAGAATATAACACCTGAAGTTTTATAAAAAGTGAATCTATAGGTACATGATATGTCAGGTATATCAGAATTCAAGCAGTTCATTTTCTTCAACAGGCTAGATTGCCTGGAAATGCAACCATCATTTCAAGTGAAAACCCAGCAGAAAAGTTGAAAGAAATCATAGATGATACTCTCAAGTATAATAGAATATCTTGCTAAAAAACACCAGTTGTTTTTTATAAAATCTACATATCAATGGCTCAATCAAATACTGCCACAACTAAAATACTATTATTTCGAGAAATTTCATTTTGAAATTTTGTAAGTCTCTATTATCATTATTTTGTTTTTGACATACTCTTTATATTTTATTTAAAAGCTTCGATATTTTGCTGTTAAATAAAATGATTAAGATTATAAAAGTGAGTTGTTGCATAGTTGTAAAAAATTTGGGTGTTTTTGAAGAAAATAACTCGAATTGAGGCAGTTTTAGACACAGTTTGTGGCTACATTTTAAATGATTTATCTTTAAGGATATTTTTGTTTGTGGTGGTATTTAAAGTAAAACCGTAATGATATTTTGCATCCATTGAACCAAAAATGTAATTGCTTTGTTTTTGGACTTGTGGCGTTTTTTGATTGAGCCATCGATATATCTACTTTGGAAATCAAGCATAAAATTTGTAAAATTCAAACAAATTTCAATACACTAACATTGGTTGTTTTATTTAAAACAACAAAGTAAGGCATATTTTTTAATTTCTATATAATTTCCTTTAATTAATAATAGGTAAACAAGTTATCAATTTCTTTTTTATTCAATGTATTGAGAAGTAAAATCTTTTTATATAAAAATATAATTTATTCTCTTCTAATAAATTGTCATATTTAGGTTACATTATAGCACTTTATAAATATCTATGCAAAAAAAGTTAAAAGGCTTGATTTAAAAAAGATATATCTCTGCGTCTTAGGTAAGAAATCAGCGAACTTATCTATCCTCTAGTAATCTAATATAATAATATGTACCTAGTCATTGTTGTATTCGTTTATTATTTTTCACCAATCTAGCTTTATCATCGTTCACCATTTAAGGTTTTAGTGAACCTTTGCAATATTGGTACCTTATTATACTATTTAGCTAATTTTGTCCAATCGTTCAGTGCTTCCTAGGTAGCTTCTTCTATCCCACATGTGTACTTGTGTTTGTGATATAAGGTGTGTTCTTTTATTCAATAATTGTTCTATTGATGTAATTTATCTATTCTGCAGTCGTTTTATATTTGAACTCTTATATTTTAGGTTAACTTAAATGATTGAATATCCTCACCATTCGTCTATCACATATCCATCGGCTTTTAAAGCCGATGGATGCCTTCTTGGCTCATTGGTGAACTCACCGCTGGAAAAAAGAATGATTGGCACATACAATCGTGTTTCCATCACTTAATTTACGAACGGTTTGCTGCAAGCGCTGGCTACAGCACTGAATAAAAGAACACGCCTACACCTACCTCTACTTTTGTGCTATTGGTACTTGATTTCAAGAACATTTTAATAATAAATTTATATAAATATTTTGTTTTATTTGAAATTTTCATGTCTCGATTGAGATTTTACTATAGCCTCAATTTCAGCCTCTCTGTATTACATTACACAATGTGTGTCCATGGATGGACTTAATTATACTTGTAAAAATATTTATTTTAAATTAAAGAAAAAGTTATTTTTCATAATTTCTCAATGTGAATCGAATTTATTTAACAAGCAAGAAATTATGAAGAATTACTTTTTTAATTTAAAATAAATATTTTCACAAGTATAGTTAAGCCCATCCGTGGACACACTGTATAATGCTGTAGATCTAATTCACATTATAACATCAATAGAACGTTTCAGAGCAACTTTCGGGGTAAGTACCGTAAAAGTGCTAGTGTGATGTTTTCCGAACTTCACTTTATAACTTCTACGAGATGTGCTATAAAAGTCTTGCAGTTGCGGACATTCGGTAGTTGCAGGGATAATAGGGTTACGTTTACGGTACATTGCATGCGAGCTTAAAGAGCCTAAAATTGCAGCTTATTAACGTAGATGGGATGTTTTTGTGCTAGCTGGGAGATAGCCACTGAGAACGGATTTTATACACATATATTATTTTAAAGGTGGAAAACCGGGGGTTGAAAATTTGTATGGGAGGTAAAAATTTGCATGTGTAAAAGATAAATAAAAATAGCCATCCTATAAAGTTATAATAGAACAAATAGAAGAGCCGGAAGTGGCAGGTACGATTAATATCTACACCGACGGTTCTAAAACAAAACAAGGCTCAGGATGTGGAATATACTCCTAAACCTAAACATAAAATAGGCTATGAGCAATAGTGTCAGTATAGTTCAAACAGCTAACGGGGATTCTCATAGCAGCAAAAGAAATACCCAGCAACAATATCACTGGAAGGAACATGCTCATCTATACAGATAGCAGACAAGCATTACTTACCCTGGACAGACCACGAATTTACTCAGGGTTAGTACTAGAATGTCACGAGGCTTTGGCCGAAGTATCCATCAACAATATGGTCACCTTAAGATGGATCAAAGGTCACGCTATATCGAAAGGTACGTCTTTCTGATTTACTAGCCAAGAAAGCAGCTAACTAAATACTTTTTGGACCTGGCCCTTTTATTGGCCTGACAAAATCAGTAGTGAAAGATCTAATCAAAGAACATTCCCTTGTGAAATTCAAGGAAAGATGGGATGAAACAAGAAACTGCAGAGTTGCCAGGGAGCACTTAAGTTATCCTGACAACACTGCAGCAAACAAATACTTGACTATGAGTGACCTTCGAGCATATTGTAATCTATTTTTGGATGGTCCCTTAACCCGAGACGATTTCTGGGAAACCGAAAACATCATAAACACAGCGGCCGAGAAAAGGGTCGTGCGGTCAGTGCAGAGACAACCCAACGTCAGTGGGACAAATATTTGGATGGGCAGATAATCGAACACCGTTGAGGAATGCAGTCGATTTCTTTGTTAAGACTGTGTTATTCCATTTGTTTTAATAATTATTATTTTTGTAACGTTATTTTAATATTAATAAACTTCATACGTAAAATAAACATTTAATTATTTGTGGAGTTTACAATATATTACTAGAACCATCGTCCAAATGGACTTTGTTTTGGTACAGGAGGGAAAAATAGTGTCCAGCATTCCCATTGGTCTGTTTCGTTTCACTTGGCATGTCAAATCGTTCGAAATTGTCAGAATTGTCATTTGATTTTTGATTTTCATTAATTTCTAGCATATTTTTGTAGTTTATAGGTGATTTTTGTATTTATTACTTTACTGATACAAAATTTTAACAATGGTGAGAGTTTGTGTAAGTTGTAAATAGAAATAAGAAAAGGCATCGTCAAGTAAGTAACCATTAGCGACTCTGCCATTTTTTTTTAAAGAAACATAGTACCTACATTTTTTGCAAAAGGCCGTTAAACATGAATTTAAAATAAATGGTAAATTTAGTGAATTAAATTTAAAGAACTAGAAAGTATTATGTATGAGGAATATTGTTTTGATTTTGGACTCTACTGAAAAGTTAAAAAAAAAATCATAATTTTTCAATATAAACAAGCTTTTTGTTTTTAAGTCATTTTATCCTGATAATGTTGAAGATGTTAAATCAATAATTTTTGTTTTTGTAGGTTTCCAGCTAATCCTGCCGAAAAGACGTAAACATATTAAAATTTATCCTAGAAAACATTTTAAGTAGTGATGTTTTATGTACCTACTATTTATTTAAATTTTGTATTTTTAAATATAATCTTTTTATCTTTTTTATTTCCGATTATTTCAACCTTCATTTTTCCGTTATACACTTTCTGATGTTTGAATAAAAAAAAAGATGTTTCCAACACAAATAATAATAATATTAATAATAATTATTATTATTATTATTATTATTATTATTATTATTATTATTATTATTATTATTATTATTATTATTATTTACTATTACTAGATAGGTACCATGTGCATAAATTAAATAATTTTGAAGGTATGTATCAAATTTATTATTTATATTAATTGCAAACCCTGTAAAAATGATGCGACACTGGTAATAGTGTCTATTAGGCATTTCCCCTCATAACGTAAACAAACCCTGTTTTCATTCTTACTTGTCTTTATATTTTACCGGTATTTATTCACTATCCGCGTCACGTAATGCGCACAAGCTTTCGAAATTAAGATCTTCTAATGTAAAATCAGGGGCCCACTAAAAATGACTGATAGTGGACTTGATTGTAGGCAACAACAAAAAGAAGTACATATGTAACACTACTGTCCTCTACCGGTCAATAGACCTATCACGATGGTATTTTGCACCTGTCAACAGACTTGAACAGGTGAGTCATAATTTATTTACATTTTTCAAATATTTAATAACAACATTCTTGAGAAGGTCTTAAGAAACATCTAACAAGTTTTAGAAAGGAATGTGAATAGATATTGTATATGTTGATCCAATTGATCCTTATCGCACGTTTTAATAAAGATAGTATTAGCGTTGTTATTTAGGTGTGAAATGTGCACATTCCTAGTTTAAAATTAACAATTGGGTGAGACTTTTACATGCTTGAATGAAGAGTAATCCAAAGATGCCGGATTCAGTAGAAGAGAGTCTCCATGCCGTTTTAAGTGGGTTACCATTAGAAGGAGAAGAGGCAGAAATATGTGATTTTTCATTAGAAGAACAAAATGAAGCTTTAGAATCACAGGGTATACAACCCAGTGTTGACCCAAAATATAAACCAGTATTATGTGAAACTATTATGTACATAGTTGCTTGCGTGATTGTAAATGAATATAATGAGGTTCTCATGATGCAAGAGGCAAAGCAGTCCTGTGCAGGAAAATGGTAAATATTTGATTTTTCTTTTCAAAATAGGTTATCCTAAAGTATCTAAAAAGTTATACCTGCTTTAAATGTATCAATTATTTAAATCTCATTTTGATTATTGTTCATTTATTCTTTTCCTGTTCAATGTAAATCAGATATATCTGTTAGGAAAATCCAAAATCCTGGTATGAAAATTCAATTAAGTAGGTACTAGACCAATACTCTCCTATATTACTTGTACCAAATGTTTCAAATTGCAATTTAATTATAGATTATACATATTTTTTTGTCCTATTTAGTTCGAGATTTAGCCACTGGCTTAAAATGATTTACCCAAGGATTTACCCTTAATAAAAAAAGTGAAAATTTAAAAAGTAACAACCAAGTGTAGTACTGGTTTTTGTTATGTGATAGTGCCATTTATTATTATAAACTGTGCTAAATTATCTTTGGTAAAAGTTGTCTTACTCAACTTTCCTATGATATTGGTGTTGTTCCAAACTCATGAAAAATTGATTAAAATGCATTCTCTTTATCATATTCATTCCTTTATTTAGCAAAGTAGGGGAAAATGTCAAATATATTCACAGTTTCAAATCAATACCTCCTATGTCCAAATTAAACATTTTACAGGAGGAACTTAAACTGTCTTCATTGCTTAATACAGCTAATTAAATATTTGATAAATAATGTTGACGGGTTAATAAATATATAAGTAACCTATGAATGTTGTTATTTTGTTATTTTTTACATTTTTGTTCTAAACTAATTTGTATAGATGGGAAAAAGTAAAAATTTGAAATTTCAGACTTACGAGGTATTGACTTGAGACCATCAATATGGAATGTATAGTTTTTAAATTAAGATATTTTTAATGAATTTTCTTTTTAAGGTACTTACCAGCAGGTCATATGGAAAAAGGTGAAAATATAGTACAGGCATGTGAGAGGGAGGTTCTAGAGGAAACGGGTCTTAAAATTCAATGTACTACTTTGGTAGTCATAGAAACTGCCAGAGGCAATTGGATGAGGTTCGTTTTGACAGGAAAAGTAGTGGGAGGTCAGTTGAAGACTCCATCAGAAGCAGACAAGGAATCTTTGCAAGCTAAATGGGTTAGAAATTTAGGAGAATTAGAATTGAGAGCTGGTGATATTACTCATCTCATTGATAGGGTTAGGTAAGTTAGATTGTTAAAAATAAGTAAATAATTATTTAAGTTATGCAAGAGGTTGCTCATAGCCACTAACCATAAAGTTCAATGTTGCCATACTTGAGAAATACAATAATGCACTTAATAGCAATGTTTAATGAAGTTGTCTTTTACCCATTCTTCAGCAATGTAGAAACACAGGTTTTCTTCTCAAATTTATTAAAAAATTTACCTTGAGGGGCTTGTTGCAGAAAGGGGTGGTGACAATAATTATGTGGGGATTAAATAAAAGGGTGTCCGCCACAGATCAAGAATGACATGTCCACCAAACAAAAAATATACAAAGTGGATAAATGAATGTTTTTTTAGACAGAAAATAGTGACTGAAAATTTATTGGTGCAAGTCAAATTATTGCAGCTTTTATTCTGAAAAAAAGGTGGATATAAGTGCTACCAAACAGTTTAAAAATCTTTAGACTATTATGTAAACAAACTCACTGGAATATGGAATAATGAAAGAATTATCAATATGTACCTGTTTTATTGAATTATTAAATGTATCTTTTCCTAAATTTACACCAGAAAAAGATTACTACATATATTATAATATTAATGGATTAGTTTTGTCACATTGTTCCTCTATCACTGATCTGGGTGTCACTTTTGACTCACTAAATTTTGTTGACCATATTAATATGAAAGTTTCTGATGCAGACAAAATACATGGTGTTGTTATACGAAACTGTCGTGGATTCAGAAACATTGGAGCATTAAAAACATTATACTATTCATTCATCCGCTCTAGAGTACTGTTCAACTATCTGGTATTTCTACTGTAATATACACATGATTAATGTTGAATCTGTTTTTGAAACAATTAGCTTTCAAAGTAAATGGTGTCTACTCTCAAAGGGTAATAGATTATCAGCTATTTTAGCTAAAATTCATTTAACTATTACTGTAATAGATCTAGAACAAATATTCTATTAAGCTCACCTCTCAATGTCATGTGTAATAACTTTAACTTATATTGTAATTTTTCAGATATCTTTGCAGATAGTTTGAAAAGTGTTAAAGCACTTGCTTGTTCAAATTATGAAAATGCTTAAAAAATATTTTTTTCGTATATTTTTATTTTATACTTATTTATTTTTGTTTTCACTGTTTTTCATAATATCCATATATTTGTCCCCTTTACTATATTATTAATGATTTGTTGGGTTGCTCTATAAAGCGATTTATATCTGTTGGTCAGTAAAGGCTATTATTATTATTATTATTATTATTATATTGTTTCTAAGTTGGTGTACTGGAGAACTTTTTACAGTAAATTGCAAAGTGTAATATGGACAGCAATTTATCTTGCAGCAAGATAAATTGCTGCAAGTAACTTAAATTGTAAACTGAATTCAGGTTACTTTAGTGTTTTTAGGTTTATATTTTTGCAAACCACCATAATACCCCATCAAGGCAGAAATAAAAATCATTAATGTATCTATATTTCTATTAAATAAAAATTTATTCCTAACATTTTTAACAAATAAATAATATTCTTAAAAAAACGCAGCTGGTATAACAAGTTTGTAGAGGATAATATTCTTCTTACATAATATATAACAAATTATACATAATTCTAAAAAATAAATCGTCCAGAAATACAAATATAAATTGTATTGTATCGAATGTTGTATTTACAATGGTTAAAACTGGCTGGTACTTTTAATAATTTGTGTCCGTTTTACATTTTTGACAATCAGTGAATGGATTCCTGAAATAAAAATATATGTATAATTTTTCTTGAACGATTTCAAGTTTTTGTATTTGTGCACGAAATCAGTACCATGAAATACAAACAATAATTTGTCAAATTGTACAAACAGTAAATCCAATAAATAAAAATTTGTTGCATTTCGATTTATTGGGGCAAATTTCATGTAAAAATTACTTCAGTTTTACTACGGTCCGATAATTTAACGACTCATTTAAGATATGACACTCCATTTCAGACGAAAGATGTGGCAAATGCTGCTATTCCAAATATGTCACTGGCTAAGTTGTACCTATGGGAAAACATAAAATCGTTGATATTTCAACAGTGAAAAATGGTTAAAATAGTAGTTTGTGCAACAAGAGTGGATATAATGACCATGAGTGACGTATGGAAAATCCTCAAAATTTAAAAAATAATTTAGAGGTTATTAAGATAAAATAACTATATACTATAGGTGAGTTCGGGCTGCGCACTCCAGAGTGGAGTGAAGTAATTAGGCGTAAACGGAGTGCGCATATGATTTTACTACTTTTACTCTCGGAGTGCAATGTCAGTTGTCAATGTGACATACCAGTACTTTAAAATCTAATCGTACTTATCAGTATCAGTTTCTTCCATATGAATAATATTCACAGGAACAAAAAAAACTTTTTTACTAAAAAATCAGTCACATTTATCTTATTATCGATTTAAATCACCTTATGCGCATGTCCGATCCACACTCCGCTCCATGATCTCCGAACGGTAAAAAAGGAACTTTTATTTTTACTCCTTCCGTTCCTGAACGCCTTAGATACTTTAGGAGTGAATATAGTGAAAAGAGTGCATAGCCCGAACTCACCTTATGCAGAGCTGGGCAGAGTACTGCATTAAAGTACTCATGGGTACTTCACAATGAGTAGCTTCACAAAGTACTTATAAGTGTCTGAGTATAAGTACTTATATGAATAATACTCAAAGTAAATGAGTACTTTTGCAAATTTTAGAGAGAACTCGTGAAAAAATCGAGTAAAGAGTATATTTTAAATAATTCTAGTTAGTGACTCAAGATTAGAAAGAAAGAATTATAGTAATAGTAAATCAGTAAGTAACAAAAAAAAATTCCGAGTTTTATATGGATTGTCTTCAGTTTTCGACATTTTGTTTGCCCAATTTTGTAACTTAATATTATTATAAAAATGCCTTTCGTCCCTAAATTCTTCGCTGGTTCATTCTAATGTATACTTTTCCATGTAGAGTAGAGTCTGATAATTTTCTAATGTATACAGGGTGTTGAACGACGTACTGTATAAACTTAAACATATTCCTGAGCTCATTTTAAGCAAAAAATGTCCTAATTCTTTCAATGTATATAAATGGATTCGTACTAATAATTACATTTTTCGATAGTCAACACCAAACACCAACTTACCAAATAACCCTTCATAATCGTACCTACTCACATAAAATGTAAAATAGTAGTGGCAGTGTAGTTCTGTAAGACACAATGCACAAGACAAGCTTGCTTGGGCCTGTTCGCGCGTCAGTACTCGTACTCGTCAGCTGTAGGAATCAGAAGTACTGAGTACCTACTCTGAAATGTAAAGTACTGAGTCCCAACAGGATGAAAGTACTCCTGAGTACTAATTACTGAGTACTCAAGTACAATTTTGAGTATTATTTACTCAAGTACTGCCCAGCTTTGACACTATATGACAAAACACAATGTATCACCCACTAAAAGTGTATATTTAAATACATTTTCTACATGTGTTGATGGTGTAAAGAATAACAATAATTAATTGATTAAATTTTCATTGGAAAACTCTCATCATTTATTCTCTACACCATAAACACATGTAGAAAATTGAATAAAATAAAATATTTTTTCTAATTTTGATATATAATGTAACATTTTTTATAATTTATGTAACCAGTTGCATAATGTTGAACATTATGAAACTGGTTACGAAAATTTCATTGTCACCAGTTGCGAAACGGAAAAAATAAAAATAAACCTTTTTTTGGTTTTAAAATAAAATATACAGGGTTCCTACTATTTCATAAGGACAGATCAGAGACAACAGAGACGTGTAACTTAATAGGAAAATTTGTTCGGTGGTCCATTTAAATTACATATATGACTTTCTTTCTCTTCTACATTGATTTTTATATATATTTATCTCTCTCCAATAAAACTAACACCAATCCTAGAGGTCGCTGATGTTGCTGGTTTTTTGACGTCGACGTATAGATTAGAACTGACAATGTTATGAATGTTGTTATGAACGTGTGCATTTTATTAAAATTAATTTAATTTGAGCCCCGTTTATTTCTTTCGAGTCTGATTTTGTTGTTTAATTAATTTTCTTTGGGGGGGAAATGTTTATTTTCGCATGAAGCAATTTCTGGAACCAAACTCGCGTATGCTGAGTAAAAAATCTCTGCACATGTAGTATTGGCAAAGGACTTTTGAAATGATTAGAGATTGGCTATTTCTTACATACACCTACCTCTAATAGCCACTCTAGTGACTATTAGAAGATTGTAGTCATTTAAACAAAGAAAAAACATTGAATCACAAAAGGGCAGAATTTTAAATCAGGATGCATTGGAAAATAAATTTGGGGACATCAGGTCGGTTTTTAGAGAGAGAGAGATCAATCTCAAGAAAAGTTAATTTATCCTGGAAAACAACCAGTAGTTTAAGTAGGATCTGCTATAACTTTATTAGAAGATTTCCTTGATAATAAATTGTAATGTACCAATTGTTTCAAATGAACTTGAAAAAGAGTTAAATTCGAAATTGGATTTTTCATGGGTAAAATGTTATATTCATTCAAACATTGTAAGGTAATCTATAATTAAGGGAGTATGGAAAATAGATATACCCTGGTAAGGGACAACGACAAAAAATTACAAAAATGTATTTATCCTTAAATAGTGTTTATTATTAATACTATTATTTGCTTTGTTTGAAAAGTACCTCCTGCTGCAGAGCAGATCAAATAGATTAGCCGACTAGTTGGAGAAGGTCCACCTAGTCACCAAATTAGGAGACTAGGAAAATTTTTACATGACTGGGGACACAACAGGAATGCACACGCACAAGATACACAAACAGACGACATAACAGGGGTAAGCCTTCAGCAACGTCCTGTTTAAATGATGATAGTATGTCATCCTTCATTCCCTTTTAGAAGGCATGGCATATAAATCTACTGATCTTGATAACCCTAAGAGGAGTTAGCAGGGGGGTGTACGGAATGGGTCTAGCAGGTTTCGATCCAGTTTACAGGATGGGAACTTACTCGACTCGGGCCTTATACATTTGTGTGAATGTATGTGTGTGTTTGTTTCGTTTCCATGGTTTCTATTAAAATAAACAGTCATAACATATCGATACCTTTTTGTCAGACTAACGTAAGCGACATTTGTTCAAATGGCACTAATTATAGCCTGGCAAAAAGGTATCGATATACTCTGTACTTTATAAAATATTTGTTACAATATTTTTTAAATACATTATGAATATATAACAACTGTGTCTTTCTTTGTAATTTGTCACAAAATGATACGAGGTACTTTCTAAATGTAGCAATTGTAGTTTATGTTTCTGTACTTTTCAAAAATATAATTTATTATTTTGTATTGTATTATTTTTCCAAGTTTAAATATTTAATAATCAATAGAATTTTCAAGTTTTTTTTAGCGAAATTTACAAGAGTAATAAAAACTATGTTCACTGCTTATATTAAACTGATAAAAACTTCCTTTATTAAAATGATTATTTATATGATAAAAATTTTTATGTTATTGGAAGCTTTTACATTTTTTAATATACAGTGAAACAATAGTTTTTGTTTCTCCTGTAAATTTGTATAGAAAAACTATTTCTGAATCCATGTTTGAATTTCCCGCCCTAAAGCATTTTTAAATTTTCCCGCTATTTACTAGTGTGGTTACAATCGCCCAAACAACTTTTAAAGAACAAAAAAAAAATACATTGAGTTACACGTCTCGCTGGGTTATCTCTGACAACAGTAGCAGATAGAACTTGGTTAAATTAGACAAAACTTACGCAGTTTTGTGCTCATTAAAATGGTGCCAAGAAACCTTTGACATATACACGGAGATTCAAAATATCGGACAAAAAATGAATAAATTTAAAGCAATGACCATTTTCATTTTTTGTACAATAGATTGTAGAACAAAAACAAAACTAATTGAGGCTGTAATTCAGATATATTTCCAGACCAGCAAATATCAGAAAATTTGTTGAAGCTATGTCAAAACTTTCGAAAAAATTATAAAAGCCAAGAGAAGCAATATTCCCTATTATAAAACAATTGAACTTTATACTATTCTATTTTTGCTTTGATATGACCAATAACTGATTTCTTTTAATTATTACATTATTTTATCATTAATTCTTATACATTTATCAGAAATTGATAATAAAAACTGCATAAAATTGCAATTTAGACAGTTGCCACTTACTTTGTTTTTAATACAAATATCTCCATATTTATATCTTCCCTTTTATAATCAGTCATATTTTGAAGTTGTTCTGTCCAGCATGACAAACCTATATCCATTCTACTAACAGCTATAATGGCGGCGGCAAGTTTTGAGGGTGGGTAACACTGCATGTAATGAACATCTAAAAAAATATGTATTTTAGATATATCTGCTCTTCCGAACTTTCTTCCTTTATCCCTAGTCAGATCAGCAAGCTAGATTTCCGCAAACATTAAAAAATATAATTATGGTTTTTAAATACCTCCCTATTTTTAGAACAATTTTTATTAGTGTCATGACTTACTTCCAATAATCTGATCAAGATATTCAGATACACAGTGATGTAAATTGTAAAAAATTGTCCTCATATTAATCCCTTTATTTTTTATATCCTCTTCGCATATTGCTGACTGTATATAATAATATACATAATGTGCAGCTGTGGGAAACATAATGCACCATTGAAAAAATCGTAAAACAACGATTTCTAAAGTTTTGTAGTCAACAATTTGGTAACGATTATTTATAGCTCCATTTAATTCTGTTATTTTTGGAATTGTCAAATTGGTTTCTTCAAATTTTGCTAAAAATTTTGATTTTATAATAGTATCGGTAGTTTTAAACACAAACTTTACCTGCTAACAATAAACAAACATTAGTGACCAGTAAAATCCTTTCTGGTATTATGGAATGATTATCCATAAAAATATCTAGAATATACACTGCTAGATGCAAACAGCAATGACTTAATTTTTTCTCAACACATACTTGTTTTAGGTATTCTACTAAACTGGATCTATAAGAAAACTTAAAAATAACGCTGATAGAATAAAGCATAATTATAATGATCCATTCTTATAACGTAAATAAAGAAAGTATAATAAGCTGCCTAAAATAAAAAATGACTAAAATAATATGAAGCTCTTTTCCTATTCTCGTCCTGTTCTAATAACAGTTTATTTTTCTCAATGTAGGTGAATAGATGTAGGTAAAGCATAGTATTTAATTTATATCTTCTGTATTTATAAGGCGGGGAGAGTGAGTTGCTCCACATTTAGGTCTCATAAGGCCCATTATCATCGTCGAGGGGCATACAGAACTTACCTCTCAACTTGACAAAACCTACTGATTGTCGCTGAGAGGTCTCTAGGACAGCCATCCTCCCAGCTCATCAAAGTCCTGCAGGTTATTAACTCATCATAAACCTGCTGGTTGTCGCTAGGGGGTGTCTAGCAATGAACTGGAGTGGGGTAGAATGCCAATGTGCATTTTGTATCAATAGAACAAGGGGCGCAGTCATTTTTATTGTTCATCTCACTCGGAAGTATTTATAATAACCATTTTGTACTTCACATTGTTATTGTCCACTCCAGACAATGTCGATGTGAAATAGAAAATGGTTATTATAAATACTCCCGAGTGAGATGAAAAATAATATGGCGAAAAAAGAGCGGGAATATTGAATCTAGTAATTCTCCAAACAACTTAATTGTTCTCTTTCTTATGCTCGCCTTACAATTGTTGGGTTGGCTACGACGATTACCCCATGTCATCGTTAATTTAAACAATTGTCAACGATTCTATATAGTAGGGAACCAGTGAAACTTTTTTGGTACATATTTGCAGAATGCTACATTAAAATGTATCCTTAATTCTTACCGTGCAGACCAGGCCTGCACAACATACGGCCCGCGGATCACTTGCGGCCCGCCATTGTCGTTTTCATGGCCCTTTGTCCCTTTACCAATTTAGCCCGCCTACGTCAAACTATACTTTTTAAAATAAAACTTAATAAATAATGTTTATTATATTTAAAAAATAACTTTTGAAAATAAACTATAAATGAATTTTTTGAGCCTCAAGATCAACGTATTTGAGCGTTGCACCTGCGAAAATCCTTCACCTACACCCGTCCCTCCCTCGACAAAAAAAAAATTACATCCGTTCTAGGCCATCGTGCACCTGCGGTTTTTTTGAACTGGCCCTTTGAAAATCTCAGTTGTACAGGCCTGCTGTAGACGATGGAAATACTTTGATCTGAATTTCAAGAAACTTTTTTCCTACTATTACTTTTGATGTAAATAATATCTGAAAGTTTCAAGTTTGCGCTTGTATGACAGCATTTGCTATACAGGTTTTTTTAAAACGTCATCGTCGATGGCTCCATCGCTGCGCATCAAACTATTTCCATGTTCTACAAGGTGAGAATGAACGATATATTTCTAATAAAATTTTAGGATTCGCAAATAGAATACCTAAAAGTGTTACTGGCTCCCCTACCAATACTATCAAATGCAAAAACGAAATGCCATTTGGGGATGTGTAATTAGAACTCAGGGTAGGAAACAATATATTTTGATAATTTTGAACGGAAGTTGAATTTGTGCACGAGTAATAAAATCATTAATAACGGGAAAGGTCTATACACTTTTCCACCTTTGAAAAGTGTGTTTGGACCACCATGGTTTGGACTAAACAACTTTTCAGACTTGTCCGTGGACTTTTCCAAGCAACCGATCACTAGTATACAATGGTTAATCTTTTTTTAAATAGTATTAAAGCCTTTATAAGAGACGTGAAAAATGTGTTATTATTAAAAAATAAAAATATTTTTTTCGATATCTATTTTTTTTTTGACTCGAAACTGCGGATTTATCAGTTCGCCTAATACCTACAAATTTAAACATTTTTTTCTTACTTGTGGAGACTGATGAATGAAAGGTAATCTATTTTGTTCCCTTGCTTTAATTACGATTTTATAATTATCTTTGTACTCTTCTGTATCATCCCATGCTTCTTTCTGTAACTACAGAAAACGTTCATTTTAAAAGTTAATATTATAAAATATTTTTCGTAAACTGCATTTTTACATTTGATGGAATTAACTATTTAGATTAAAAATTAAGTAGATAACCTGTAATTTTTTTTTATATATTCGATACCTACTTTATTACTTTGCAAAATAACTTACGTAAAATACAGAACTTTTAGTCATGAAATACCGCATTTTTAAAATTAATAAATACTGCTTTTATTCTCCATCAACTTTAAAACTAACAAATAAATTATCTCTGTTGACACATTGTTTCTCATTTTTTGTTATTTAAAAAAAAATTCGTCCCAAAGTTTTTGCATTTATTTAGGACAGAATAAATAAATTGGTTTAAAAACCTTATCAATGTGAGAATCAGCGGCGTGGCTAAAAATATTTAAATACAAAACAGAAATGTATATAATAATGGGGTCTATTCTGTAACAATTCCTTTATATTTTAACGGCCTTTAAAAATATTTTCTTCTTTAATTCTGTCATTATTTAAACGGATCTTTAAAATACATTGGAGGACTATCTTAAAGAAATCTGTTAAAATAATGTCAGAAGTAAATTAACGAATACGAAAATGTTTTTAAAGGCCGCCAATATTTTAACGGCCGTTAAAATATAAAGGAATTGCTACAGAATAGACCCCATTATCTGCTATACTATATTCACCCATAACATTGCAGAATATAATACCTCTAAATATAATATATAATTCATTTTATATTTATTAAAAATGCATGTATTCACGTGTGTAAACTCAAAAGTCACGGAAAAACCCGAGTTTTGAAGATAAAAAAAAAAACAGAAAATGTTTTTCTGGCTTGTCTGCTGCTTACCGGATGAAACTGAACAATTATTTAGTCGAAAAGTGTTTCAGATATACGTCCATCCAATCACTAACATTAACTTTACTACCAATAATTCGACCGTTTTAGGACCAGTTTTTCAATGAAAGCTTAAACTGAGTTCAGCAAATGAACCAAGTTTTATTGAAAGATGGTGTATTTCAAATGTAGTTCACGTCTGAACTTAATTTAAACTATCCGAAAAATTGAACTGTCAAAGTTGGGCGTTTAAACTAAGATCAATGTTTTGACACTGACAAAATATAAGTATATTTCACAATTTTTTTTTACATCTTGTGTTCGAAGTAATAAATGAAGACCATGGTGAAATTGCTACACATATTTAATGCATATTAATGTACCATGTACCCAAGAGAATATGCAAAGTTTCGTTTGTCTAAGAAAACGGCTAACAGAATAATTAACAAAATAGAATATGGACTTATAGATAATAACATTTATAATAAAATGTATTTTATTTTCTAGAAATAATGCTTTAACCTCTAAAGTCATGGTTCTGTTAACTATATGATTTGTTGCATCGATATCCTTCTTAATTACCACCACCAAGTAGAGTACATAAGTACAGAAATTAATTTTTACCCACAATTCTTCTTCGTTGCTCGAAAAATTGGCGGTCCGTCAATTTTTTTCCATTTCGTAGAATTTTTCACATTCACTGTCAATGAATATGTTTTTAAAAACGTCAAATTGACATAGAGCATTCAGTTTTGTCAGAAATCCCTCGATTCAGAACTACCAATATAAATTGAACTTAGATCACCTGAACTGTGATACTAGAGAGTTATTGCAAGTTCACTTAAGGTCAGTCACTATTAGTGCTGCTCTTATTTTGACATCTGAGCATGTGTAGATCACTAACTTTAATAAAGATTGTGCCTGTCCATAATAAGAGTTATTGCAAGTTCACTTAGGGTCAGTCACTATTAGTGCCGCTCTTATTTTGACATCTAAGCATGCGCAGATGTTTATGTTCTAAAACTGACTTTATTAAGGATTGTGCCTGTCCTTAATTGTGGATGTTTAAGGGCAGCAGGTAGTGACGACTTTATAGCTTTTGGATGCGCTCGTCATTTAAACCTTCTAAAATTATAATTTCTAATGCCTCTATAATATTAGGTACTATTATAGAATTTATTTGACTCTAATTACGATGTCACTATTAGTGGCTGGCTTTATAGAAATTTGCAATATCTCTCTATTAAGGACAGGCACAATCTTTATTAAAGTTAGTGATCTGCGCATGCTCAGATGTCAAAATAAGAGCGGCACTAATAGTGACTGACCTTAAGTGAACTTGCAATAACTCTCTACTAATATGATTGAAAAACGCTATTGATGGTAAAATCTCAGTTCTATATTTGATCCAAGTTCAGGTGAATGAAAGTTTAAACTGTGATTGAAAAACTAGCCCTTAAATGGTAATTATTAAACTCAGGAAATATTGTGGTTGAAAACTACAAAGAAAACCTTTTGACTTCGCCCTTTGGAAGTCAAAAAATATTCGAAGTGTACATTCAAAGATTCAGAACGAGAATTAGTGATAAATTCTGCTTTATCTTTTAAAGTCAAAGTGATAGAAATACTCCAAGTCCTCTGACAAAAGAGTATCGCATTTTTAGTTACAGTTTGCACGTTTCTTCTTATTTCAGTTGTGCTTAGCAGCGTAAACTTTATTAAGGTTCGTTTACAAGAATATAAGAAGTCACTTTGAGAAAATTAAGATTACGTTTTACATTTTGTCTACAAATACTAGAACAATTTACTTTCGTTCTTTATACATAAATTTACCAGCTGAACATTGGTTTTTAGCGTTTTTATAAATAATTCAAAATCAGGTGCAACTTCGTGAAACAGGTTCTTTGTAAAAAAAATATATTATAACAAGAGGCACAGAAAATATTTATTGGATAACTCTTATATCATTTTCTTCACAACTAGACTCTGATTCAGACTCAACACTATTTGCCGTTGTACCTAAATTAATAATAATTGGTTCTAGATCAGAAACGTCTAATTGCTTGTATTTTTAACACGCTTATATTAGCTTCACCTGTAAGTATGTTTGTAACTCTCCTTTGGACTAAAAGCAAGTTGCTTATTACTGTCAGTATATCACACTAACTCAAGTTCGTTCGTTGGCCGAGCCGTCTAAGGCGCGGGTTTTCGATTGCCAGACTCACCGATCGTGGGTTCTAATCCCCACGGCGGAAAAAAAACGTATTTTTTTTTTATCAATTGTTTTAATAATTAATCGAACTAAAAAGTAAAAAATAAATGTAGTTTAAAAAACTAAAAAACAAGCTTTTATAATACATCGAACTAAAAAGTGAAAAATAATTTTTCAAATAAGTTAAAACAATAATAAATGGAAAATACTAGTATTATTGTCAAAAAGCGTGGGGCGCTTTGTCCATATTTCTCGTACATCGAGCGCCCGACGCTTTTTTCACAATAATACTAGTATTTTCCATTTTTTGTTTTAAGCTTATTTGAAAAATTATTTTTCACTTTTTAGTTCGATGTATTATAAAAGCGTGTTTTAGTTTTTTAAACTATATTTATATTTTACTTTTTAGTTCGATTAATTCTTAAAAAAATTGCTGAAAAAAAAATACTTAATGATTAATGTTCTTTTCCTGCAACCATTTAATCTTTTGTTGGAATTGGTTCCACGTATCGCGAATGATAACTGACTTCGATTATAATCGAAGAATGTTCCAGACTAAGTATAAATTTCATCTTAAACCATTTTTAAAAATTTTCTGTGTTCATATTATTATGGTAATCTCCGCTTTTTTTTTTTTGACTTTTAAATATGAGGTCTGCATTTTTTTATAAACCCTTCTTCATTTCTACCATGGACAATTATGTATCGAATTCCATCTCCTGTTTTTTTACCTGCAGTAGCCATCGTTCCATCTTGTCAACTTTTTTTGTCACTTCTATTGCTATATACCCACGTCTCATCCATAAATACAAGCTTAAAGTTACCCAGCTCTATCTTTATTTGTTAAAATTTTTTTAAAACGAATTTTTTTTACTAAATCGATGTTGCTTCCAATAAAAACTGTCCGTTGTTACTTCTTTTAAAGCGAAAGCACAGTTTATAGCTAAAGAATCAGATCGCTCACTCTGCCTCGCCACTTTTGATCTGAATGTTCCAGTTTATACATTGCGCAACTCAGATTTGTATCCCTGGCACATACAGAATCAAATCGTGCAATTCTAAAAGAATGCGGTGAAAGTTGTGATTGCAAACCACATAATAAATTATAGGTATTCTGTGTTATGAATATGACAACCGCCTATTTCAAACAGCAGTATTATTCTGTGCATCCTGAATTTGTATCCCTGGAGTTGACGTTATTTTGGAACATCCAATTGGTCCGAGTGAGCTAACTGATTCTTTAGCTATAACCTGTGGCGACAGTGATTTATGAAATTTTGAATTATATAATTATTGTTGATCTCTGTGTTTGTGGCGAACACCGAGATACCTAATTTCTTTATTTTTTCTGTTATCCTTGAAAAAGCGGCAACCTTCAACTCACTTCAAAGGGACGTATTTTTGTTGGGGTACGATTAATAATCGAGTAGCACAAGAATTAGATTTAAACTTTGGTTCAAAATTAACCCCTGATCACAAAACCTCTTGGTTAACCAAATGTTATACAACTCTCCCTAACCCTACAGAGTTATGCCTGAAAAAGCGCCAATCTTCAACCCACTTCAAAGGGACGTATTTTTGTTGAGCAACAGAATTATTTTTAAAAATTAACCACCGTTCACGAAACCTCGTGTGATACAACTCTCCCTAAGTGTAGAGAGTTGGTTGTGTTCAGCATATGTCATTATATAGATGGATTTAAAATAGACACTTATTCGCTTTTATTGATGCTTTAAAAACATGTATTTTTTTTAAACAAAAAAAGTTACATGGCCGCGAATCTTCAGGTATAATTAACTCTTATTATATTTCTTTGTTCCTCCAGAATGTATGAACAAGCAAGAAAAATTCAAGAACCTGGATGGTTTGAAGATCAGTTACCAGCTCTTCGGGCGTACCCTAGACAACTTCTACGTCTCGTGGTAGTCATCAAAAAGAAATCGAATAATCAAGTGAATATTTTATTAAGCGAGAGGACTTCTTGGCATTTACCAGCTTGTGAGATTCATCCTGGAAGAAGTTTACATTCAACTTTAAGGAGGTTCATGGTCGAACTTTTTGGAGCCGAAGTTCCTTCACATAGACCATGTGGATTGCTGTCGGTAAGCATGATTTTTTAAAGAGATTTTAATTTTGATAAATCCATTTTGTGTTTAAAACCAGGCAGGAACTTTTATAAATAATAATATTTTATTAGAAAGTTTTCCATTTGTATTCATATTTATGCTGGATGATATTGTATTAGTAAATAAATGTGTTATGTTTTTAGGTTGAACATGATTCTTCGACAAATCAAGACGGTCTATGTCTAACTTTACTTGTTGCCTTCAGATCACCATTGGAAGAAGTTCCTATTATCAGTAAGTGCGTTTGGCACGAAATTTCTTCTAAAGATTTAAGTGATAAATTATTACAGAAAGTTTCGTCGAAAAATGCGACCTTCTTTTTGAATGTTATTAAATAAATTTAAGTACCTGTTAAAATTTTTGAAATTATCTATTCATGTTCAAAATTTATATTGTATTGTTAGTGAAAGATTCGATTCGACAATGACTTGTAATATTTTCTGCATTTATTAGCATTTCTTAGATCTTTTATGTATTTTTTTAAGGAAAAGTATTATTGATTTTATTGTACTCTTAAAAGGAAGCTAAATTGTTAAGATGACATTTCGGTTTTATTGAAGATATTTATTATCAATTCCATTTTTGTACATACTAACATTGATATGGTTGTGGTTTACGTTTCACGAGAAACGTAACAATTTTCAGCAGCATATTTTAACTTTTTTTGTCTATATTCCATATTTTATACTTGTTAACATAGTTTTATTTATTTAAATATACTTATTTTTTATAAAATGATCTTAATTTTCCTTCTAACTAACGTGTCGGCTTTGAAAGTTCCTGTCTATGTGTTTGTTGGTAGGTAAACAAAAAATACAGCACTGGTCCGAAGACACCATCCTGAGGTACACCTGAAAGGTTTCCGAGATTTATGGAGTAGTATAAGGTTATAATTAAAACACAAACTCAATCATAAAAAATTATATGTACAAAGTTTATAAAAATACAGTGGTAAAAAAATAAATAACGTTTAATATTACAACGGCAAATTAATAGAAAGTAAGATGATTCTTTTTTACACAATTGGTAGTCAAAAATTTACAAAAATAAGGTAAACTCCTGAGAGTATTCTATTTTCTCTTAATTATTGACAATTAATATTACTTAATACAACTATTTCTAAAAGTCAGTCACGGTCTTTAAGACTCATTAAAAAAACTATGAATTAATTAATATCTAGGTTATTTTTATCAATTTCTTTAATAAAATCAAGGTCAAAGGTGGTTTAGTTCTCCTGATTTAATAATCAACATTAACATCATAGTAATACAGAGTAACATAAAAAAGGCGGAGAGACAAAAATCCATCATATGTTTATGTCAAAAAATATAATTGTGAAAAGGTGTGACTAGCAATGCAAACAAATTTAAAAAATGTGGTTAAGCTATAACTTTAAACCTTTCTACGCAGAAACGGACGCTCCTTTTATTATTAATAATAATTGTAAAAATATTAAATGCAAAGGAGGAAATTACAGTAATAACCCACTTACGAACAAAATTTAGCAACAACCAAAAAACTACTCGTAAATAAAGAAAATATCTACAAAAATTAACCAAAATACACAATGCATTAGTGGTTCCAAGCCTAATATAGAAGTGAAACTGGGCCTACGTCAACAAACCAAGAAAATGATATGGTTTCGCCATGTAGAAAGAAGGGCTGTAGAGAGAATAACAAACATGGTAGCAGAAGCAAAACGATATGTTAAGAGAAAAGCCAGAAGACCCAGAAAGAATATAGAATAAACGAAATAGCACAAAAAGTGGAAAAATAATAATAGAACTAAAAAAAAAATAGTAAAAAATGGGCTGATAATTTAAATCCCATGACGCTGTAATGGCATAATAGACCTTCAGATAGCGACACGTTTAGGTGCTCCATTTCCGCACACAAGCCTCTAAGAGGGTTGAAAAGTACGTCGATTTTAAGTAGAATGAAAGAAAATTACCAGTGGCACCTGGGATAACATACAAAAAATTCCATTTTTCTTCACAAAAATTAAAGGTATTTTGTTGCCACATTTTCACGCAAGCCGTGTTCACTAATTGATTAACTAATAGAACTAGGCTTCGGAAAACCAAAGGCTTTAATGTTGCAAGTGGCTAAAGGGTTGAAATAAGGGCGTAATCTTGTAAGAAAAAATCGAGTTTTTATCTGATTTTTCCACACAAGCCCATCGAATGTTTGAAAACGTACATCATCACTAGTCTGAAAAATATATTGGCTTAAATGACCCGAATGGATAAGTGCATTTTGGAAAAATTTTCTGTTAAGGAAAACCGAATTTTCCATGTATTTTCAAGAGTCACTCGTAAATTTCCTTTCATTCTACTAAACATCGATGTATTTTTTGAATCCTTTTTGAGGCCTGCATGCGAAAATGGGGACATAAATGGGTCACTATCTGACGGTCTATAAGGCAAAACATAAAGAACAATATAGCAAATCAATTTCAGAAGTGGCTACCAGGTGCCTTTTTTAATTTTAATGATGGGTCAAATCTTATGCTTATAATAATTTTTTTTGAGTAAACAATTTTATTTTCAAATCATTAAATCTGTGTTTGTTATTAACAAAATAAAACTGACTAAACACACCTTAGTACCTTGAGTAGGTAACACAGTGTCTTAAGTTTCGAGACATACGGCTTCAAATTTGCAATCCATCTTTTGCTATTTAATGAAGCCATAAAATCAAAACAATTTGTTTCTGGATTTTTATATTTAATTATAAATACACTATTTAATATAAGAGGTTATGGAACACAAAACTTAAAGGAGAATATTTTGAAAAACAAAATAATTTTCTAGAGATCCATATAAATCGCCCCAGATTTCCAAATAAAAATTATACAAACCCAAGAATTCTACTAAAATTCTCTAACCTGTAATTAGGATTCATTTGCATTTGAAATATATAAACTGGAATTATACAAATTTTTAATCTAGATTCAATAAATATTCATATATATGCCGTTCAATTTCTTTCTAAATCGGGGATGGCTATAAAAATTAAACGCTTAGTGCGAGGGATAAACCACTTCCAAAATACTGGTACGTTTTCACTTGAAATCACCGAATTCGTTATTCTTTCTAAATCTCCGAGATCATTCCGGAAATCCCAAAATCATTGATAGATCTTATGATTTCCTATGGACACAATTCAAGGAGGGAGTCCTATGGCTGTCATCCAAGACCTAGATAATAGTTTTCCAGTGGCAACAGCTCTTAAAATTCAAGTATAATAATTTTCTGTTTCAGTTTATCTCCTTTTTTTAAACAAAATTTTTTTATTTCACTTGTTGATTTTAACATTTATATACAGTATCGGCTATTGAATACTTTCCAAGTGGTGTTTGTTTTTGTATTATTTTGGAAATTTCCGGCGACCCCCTTAGTACCTCATTGCAACCCCCAGGGAATCGCGACCCACACTTTGGGAAACACTGAAAAAGGGCAAAAGGGAAAAATTTGGTGACTACATTAAATGAGTACTTTACACATGACAAAATGTTAATTTACTCTAAGGAAAACTTAGAATTTAAGAGAGGTCAAAGAGATTTATACAAAATTATTTAACATATTGGATATAAAAAATATAAAACAGTCGATGGATATACCTATACCCTATAATTGTTTCTATTAATGACATACTAACACCCTTCTGCGGATTCATTTTACTTCTGAAATTAGATTCAATAACTAACCTTTTCTCTTCTAATAGTAGTAATAGCACCTTAGCTTTTATAACATTCCAAATGTATCCACAATTGGACAAAAATGCATCATTTAACAGGGATAATGTTGAAAACCAATGCATTTAACCTTCACCTGGTCTGGTGGGCTACGTACATACCCTCTTTCTCGTCGATTTTCGATATCTAAATCTTCGAAATCGAAACTCGTAACGACATCTATCGGTAGTCAAGGGATATACTTTTGTACCTAGACCAGTGGGATAGCGCTCTCAAAATAAATTCTTTTTTTAAAGACCCATGAAAACAATTATTATTCTTTTATAGTGATGTAACAGAAGAAGACACAGCTAAAATTTCAGCCCTTTTTATCGAACAACAAAAAGTTATGATTTTTTTTTTGTAAAAAAAAAAACGCTTTTTTCAAGTTTTTCCAGTTTTCCGGATTTTTTATGAACGTTGATCTTTATTTTTTTCAACTCGGACTATTCTACAGTTTACAGTGGTATCTAAAGAGGATCTCTGAATTTTTTTGAGACAAAATAATCAATATTTAAATTTTTGCAAAGATTTTGATCACTGGGGTTCGTACGTACCCCACGAGTCCAGGTATGTTACTCGGGATGAGCATGCCAGGTGAAGATTAAATGACGCTGCTTCAAATGATAAAAATGAAACGTCACAGCACATTATTAATATGTGAAATGTGTCAAATTTATATAGCCCAGTCTGATTTAAATAAAAATTGAACGGAATATAGACAAAACCTACATTCTAGAAGGTCTAAAATAATTATATCTATAAAAATCAACATATTTTTTTATAAAACAATAATTATAATTACTTATTTAAATTAAATGTATGGATTAAAAAAATATTTGTATTCAGAGTGTTATCAGGAAAGGCTACTTCAAAATATTGTTTTGAAGTCGTCCTCATTCTATGAATAAAATATTGGGCCATTGAACAATTGTTAAAAAATAGTGAAATCATAACATCCATAAGTAAAGAATAGTCTATCCTTATTTTTGCAAACCCGCATTCCCAACTTTCTAACAATCAATTATTGCTATTCTGTTTACATTCAATTAGTACATTTTTATAATAAATTAAAACTAGCTAGGATTCACAAGTAATTTTAATTGCATTTTATACCTTTCCACTTCTTGTTCCTTTTTCCTTAATTTAATTTTGTACTCTTCAATGGTTTTCCTAGCTTCAATGAGTTGACTCATGACCAGCTCCAAATCAGATTGGGATCCATTATCTCTATTTATATTCAATATAGGATCAAATTCTTCAGCCACCTAAAATTGTTTTTTTTTTTACTAATAATTTTAAAACACTAAATAGCACTATACAAAATTTGGAGATTATAACATCTACTTACCGCCGTTGCCGCTATAGGTATTATTTTATTTTTTTTCATAACCACCCTCTTAAAAGTGCCCCTAGAGGGTATCACTTTCATCTGTCTTATATTCTTAGAACTATGATTATTTGTCATAGCTAAAAACTGTTCAGGAGTCACAGTTAGAAACTTTTTATCCATATGTAGAGTCTGTGATTGTTTTCTTTGTTCTGATTGTTTCACGGAATTTAATACTTCTTTACCAACATCTGAAAAATCAAAATGAGATGTAGAAATTGCAAATTAAGTACTTTTTATTTTTTTCCAAAACCTCAATTTTTTTCGATTTTTTACTCTCTTAAATTTGCTGTACATAAGATGGCGGTTCATATAGTCACTCAGATATGAAAGGTGTAAAAATTTGACCCGGTTCACCATTATAGTGACAAGCAAAAAACAACAGCTATGGAGGTTCCCAGGTCATGGACATATATCCAGTGCCACTAACTTAGTTAAAAAAAAAAAAAAAAGGTCATGGACATATATAAAAGTACAAAAAGTTTACTCTATTTCGACAAAGTTGTAATTTATGTATTAATAATAATATTCTAAGCCAATATTTAAGCATGCCTGACATTTTTCACAGTTATAATATCCCATCAGACGACTAAATGTTAACTTTGGCATGAGCAAATAGCAAGTACGATATCTTTTTGAATCATAAATTTCACTCGGTAAAACAACAGGATTATATAAAAAGGCTGTGAACGTTTTTAAAATTTAAATTTTTTTACATCTTCATTGTTTTCTAAAAAACAAAAAAAAAAAAAACTATAATTCAGTTGACATAATATCAAATTAACAAAAATATTCAATATTTAGATTAATACCACTAAACGAATTAAATATTTTACAACGTTCACTAGGTCAGAAGTTTATTTAGCAGAGTTCAGAAATACAATAAAGCTATTAGACAAAACTGTTACTACGCCAAATGTTTCATTGTTCAGTATAATATGACACTCCAGTATAAGCCCTAATGTTAACTAAAGAAAGAATATTTCTTGGATTAGAGAGGGTGTGATATTATAGTATTAAAGTAAAGTCAATTTTATTATAATCAAATTGATGGCAACACACATAACCCTCGTTTAATGTCGACAATTTTGAAAAAATTGATCCATCCAAAATAGTTAACTAGCTATTTCGCTAATGGTATTCAATTTGAAAACAATGGTCAAAATGTTCTTATTAGAGAAAAAAATAATTAGCAAATTGTTTTGATAGATTTTTTTGTGAAAAGTGTTGAACATATTATTTCTGGCATAGAAGATGTTGAGTTTACCTGTCACATTGATTATTATTAGGGATGTGCACGAGCTTGTAAAGTTCGAGCGCTCGCGATCAAGCTCGAAAAATTGCAGCTCGAGCACGCTACAATGCAGCTCCGAACAATATGAGCGCATCGCGTACCGATACAGCTCGAGCGGCTCGAGTCTCCTATGATTCGAGCGTTCCGTACTCTGAATGAATCATTCAACTTTAAATTTAGTGGTGAAAAGTGATTAATGTGTTTCGGTCCCCGTAATATAAGTGTGATAAGAATAAGTTTTTAACTTCATTTACGTTTACAGTAAGTATATAGGATTTTCTTAATTCGAATAAATGAAAATTATTTGATATTTCGAATAAGTAACCAGTCATAAACTCGGAGTGCTCGAAAACATTATCACGACTTGTACACGTGATCTCTCTGACGAGGCTGCTTTTACAGAGTCACACTAGGGACGATCGAGGTTTTATTAATTTTATTAAATAATATGCAACTAGGTATGGAGAAATTACTCGATGATAAGTTCATTACCGAGAGTTCGAATGATTCGGAGTACGGAACACTCGGATCGTTCGAGGCTCGAGCCGATACACGAGGCGCTCGAGCCGAATATTATACAGGAGCCGCTCGGGCATCGGACTGGTCGTACTGTTCGGAGCTCCGCTCGAGCAATACAAGCAAGAACCGAGCCTGCTCGATCAAGCTCGTGTACATTCCTAATTATTATGATGAAGATGGTTTCAGTGAATTTAAAATATTAAATTGTATCTAATTTAGCAAACAAAGGGTCGAAAGTTGATGCACTCTCAGAAGTAACAGAGCAACTTCTTTGAAGTAATTGGACACGTCTGGTGATATTTTATAAATAACTCTGCAGAAAATGGTAGTTTTCCAGATGATTTAAAAATTAGTATGGTTACCAAATGCGATGAATACGGTTCAATTAATACTTTACCTCATGCTGAAAAAATGTCAAGAGTCAGTAGTTTACCAACAGTTGTTGGAATATTAAAAAAACTCTTTAGTAACCAATCTGGATTTAAGATCTAACCATTCATATTAAATCAGCACTTTAACTTATTGTTACTGAATAGAAAGATAAGATGACTAAAAGCATAAACTAGAGTGGTATTCTTAGACCTTAAACGTGCATTTAAAACTGTCAAATCATGAAATATTACTCTAAAATTTAAAAAATATGGTATAAAAGGCAAAGTATTTGATTGGATCAGTGATTACCTTACAAACAGAAAACAGGTAAACAAACTTAATGATTCTGTTTCAACATCAATTGATGTAGAACATGTCGTTCCTCAGGGAAGTATTACAGGGATATTGCTATTCTTAACCTATATTAATGATATTAGCAATTGTAGTGCTGTTGACGCAAATGTATCGGTTAGTGATAATGATCTAGCTAGATGTAGCTATTCAAAAAATGAACAATTTAATAAACAATATTGCTAGATATTTAAAAATAAATTAACTAAAACTAAATGTTGATAAAAAGCTATGATACTTACTACACCTTTTAAATACAGAGAATTAAATTTAAATCAAATTGAAATAAAAATAGGAAATTACAAAATTGAGCTAGTAACTGAATTTAAGCATTTTGAAATATTTGGGATTCATGTTAGACAATCATTTATCACTTGTCATTTTAATTACATACAAAAAAAAATTAATTAAATTTTTTTTCAAGGGGTTTCAGCATTTAACTATGCAGTCAAGAATAACAGTATATAAGACTATTATTCAACCACATTTTAAATATTGTCTTACTCTGTTGTACACGTAAGATTTAAAGAAAATGAGCACCCTACAAAAACTAGAATCGCGCAATGATTTTGAAATGTACCGCGATATCTTTAATGCTAAATACTCTAGAATGGTTACCGATTGAAAGCAGGCTTACATATTCAACTATGATATACATTTCTTACAAAATGTTACATCTTTTACCATCATATTTCAACAAATTTGTAATTTTTAATAATCAAATTCATCAGTATAATACTAGAACAAGAAATAATATATATGTAAATAATCAAACGAAAACATTTAATAATAAAACAACAATTTTTAAAGTATTTATTCTGTTTTAAAGGGATTTATTAGGCCATTTAATGGAATGTTGAGATATACCAAATTCAAATGACAAAAATCAAACTTGGTAGATTTTCACTTATATTAAAAAAAATAATAATAAATACTCATGACAATTGTATTGAAGTAAAACTTCTTCATTTGCAGTACCTTATGTTTATAAAATTATTCTATATTTGTGTTGTATATTAGGATGTACCTATTTTAATAATGCTATCTATCTATCTATATATCTTAAAAAATATTATACATGTGTATGTTCACGGCAGAGGTAACATTTGGTTGTCTGTCGGGATGTTAGAACCGTGGAAAATGTCAGCCGTATTAAATATAGGCTTAGAATATTATTATTAACAAATTTCAGACTGAATCGGTAATTTGAGAAAGCCCATAAGTCACAATTTTGACATATTCTAAAAATTGCGGATTCTTATTGCTAACAGTTCGGTGCACATTCCAACGAGAAATCCCATTAGTCGTAGCACTCCTTGTATTAAATTTTCAAACGTCAAAATCTACTTTACTTAAGAAACCCTATAAGTCGCTGACTAATGGGGTTTCTCTAATACACGCGGCACACGATCTAATACAATTAGCTGTCGCAGATTGACCGAATTTATGTTAGAAATACTTGTGCGATCCGTAGGGATGGAAGGATTAGTGCTTGGGCGAAAACATCACTTTCTAATTACATACTTTATTTTAAAAAACTATTGAAACTATTTTAATTTTATTACATGGTTCATTTACAAACTACATACTTTTTGCACTATATACAGACTTTTCTTCGGAAATTTGTTACTTAAGTACTCAAGCCATCTTGTACACCGCAGAACGATGTGTTTGAGAGGTACTGAAGCTCTGCCGGAGAAAAGTTGTTCAGTTAGATTGAGAATGACGCTCGACGTTGACCAATTAGGAAGTGCTTAACGCCGGTGTTTTTAACCAATGAGGGCAAATGCCGGGCATGGATGACCAATGAGAAGTGGACAAGAAGTTAATGACGTTTTTGACGTAGCTATTAGACGAAAGACCGTTCATATCGGTCAAGACAGTGTCGCAGAGACGTTTCCAGGAGTACAAGGCTTGCAGAGATGTCTCCAGGAATAATAAAGAATTGAGAATGAAAGCTTAGCGCAATGTTGAATATGATTCAACAAGCAGTATCACAAGATAAACAGATATCACTTAAAATAAGTCAGTATGTGCATTTTAAACATTTTTTTTTTTTGAAAATGAAGGCGTTCTTGTGACAAAATATTCTATATATAGACTGACTTGTGATACATTTCGAAATACATCACACAACCTTTGACTATTCTTGTCAAAAAGACTTGTGTTGGAAAAAATACATATTAACAGATGAATGATCTTGCCAAACTACAGCAGTATCTTCCGGAATGAGAAGACATACTTGAATTTCATAAAGAACTATAACTGGCCGACTGTTGATAAAGATAAGATTTTAGATGAAATTTTAAATTAAATAAAAATATTGTTAAATAAACACATTATTTTATTCAAATATGTAGTTTTATTGTCTAAATAATTTAAAATAATATCCGTATATTTGAGAAACCCCAGAAGTCATAATTTTCTACTCTAGAAAAAAAAGCACAAGTTGTTTTTATACTATCAAATAGTAAACCAATCTAGCAATTTTAGAAACAAAAAAAAAAAAAAATCAATGCCTTGTCTCACAAACAGACGATTTAAGAAAGTTTTTTTATTTCCCAAATTTTTACTTTTCTGACTTATGGTGTTTCTCAAATGACCGATTTCTTTGTCGATATATATTATTTTTTCTGCGACTTTCTGCCATGGAACCGCCATAGCTATCTGTCATTGGTTTTTCCAATTACAATAATAATTATTAAGTATTTTAAAATATCCAAGTGACGTTAAACTCGGTAAAATTTTTACACATTTCATACCTGACTCTATAGGAACCGCCGGCTGAACTAAGTACAAAAAAATTATATAGAATTTTGCAAAATACCATAAATCTGCAGGAAGAGTTAAATAGAAAAATAATTAGGTGTCAGTTTTTTTAATAATTTTAACAATGCTGGACAATGCATGAAATGGCGAGTCTACTAAAAAAATAGGGTAGCGTTGATTACTAACATTTACTGATAATATATTTTGAAATTTTAGTAGTTTCGATATGGATAAATAATAATTAAAATTCCTAATCCTATTTTTGTAATTTTGGTTTTTATAAAGTAAAATGCAAATCAAAATATACATCTACAGTTAAGTGTCCTATTAAATATGATTAAAAATAAACTTTATAGTTTCAGATTTTAATCCTTTCCTTTATATATTTTTTTTTAAACAATATTTAATGCATAAATAACTATATGTAAAAGACTCATTTAAAGCTTATAAAATATTTGAAACATCATTGTTTCCTGTCATTTTAAATCTTTTGAGTCACGAAGTTTTATGAATAAATATGCAACATTTTTTTATTTCCAGGGGTGAAAAACTTAATTATTTTTAACTGACATTTGGCAACGTTGTAACCATTTGTACTTTATTCTATTGACTGTTTATGAGCTTGAATAATAAGAATAATATTTTAATACCAATTTGCTTAGAAAACTAAAGATCTTTAACTGTTTTTATTATGTAAATAGGTTTAAAAATACCCGTGCGTTATTTTAGATAACAGTTTGAGCATTTTACTAAATACTGACCTGTTAAAACGACAGAATGTCCACTCTCCATGACAGTATTTAAAATGTTGCCATCATCATTTTCATCATTTTGTAACATCGTAATGCCATGTTCTTCTAGAATTTTTAAAGAATTCGTTAAAGCACTTGCATCAACCACTTGTTCAGTTTCATCATCTCTTTCTTGATTAAGATCTTCTTGTTCTGAAGTTTAATAATAAGAATGGATCACTGTATTCATTTGTTTTTCTAAATAAGAAGTTTAAAATTATTTTATACATATGTTGAAGATTACCTGTTGCTTCCTGACTAGTTTCCTGGTCAATGTCAATACCTTTCATATCTTCTTCAATAAGAATTGGTTCTAAAAAATAAAACAACAGCCACTTGATACCTTTATAGTAACAAAACTATTATGGGGTCTATTCTGTAACGTTTTAGTTAATATTAGCTGCCAGGTTAAAAGGTCATTTATAACTATGACTTTTAAATCTTAACCAAACTCTTTATTCGACATTCCATCAATTTAATTTTATGTTATTAGCTATTTTATAACTAATCGCAGTTAAAATAGACATGGCAACGACTAAAAATGAATTGAAATTAAGACCAACGCAGCCCTAAAAATAAAAAAATATATATATTTGAAATCATTAGTAGATTTATTACTGACATAAGTTGTAAATTATAACCAAATAATACGGAACACAAAATTAAAAATGACCTCCGAATATTTTTTACCAATTTTTTACAGAATAGACCCCTACATCTTATTTAAACATATGAATAAAAAATATATTAGTTCTACTGGAGCTAGATTAGAAGCATTATATACCTCTTACTAAAGTATAACCACCAAATTCTTGATTTTCTGTTTCCTCCAATTCCATATCTTCACTAAACATATTTTCTGCATCATTTTCTGTTACATTGCCAGCATTAAGTTGCAGCACTAAATTTTGGCTGGCTATTGCTGAATTGTTTATTGCTCCAATCAAAATTTCTTCAATATCTGATCTACCTGTCTGTTGCGCTATCATAACTGGCGTGACATCAAATTTACTAGGTACTTCTATTAACGCACCATATTTTACTAAGAGGTTTACAACTTCAATGTGACCATTTTGAACGGCCCAGTGCAGGGGGGTCATGTCCAACTGAAATAATGCAATGACTAAGTTTTTCGCAGGTTAAATTACTTAAGAAAATTATGTCACAGATACATTCAAGTAGCCAAAGTATGTATAATATCTATTCTAGAAGATGTAGGTATGTTATTACAAAAATGTAATATCAAATTCAAGTTATTTGATTAAAAACTGTGGAAAACTACTTGATATTTTTCTCTCTGTACTTACCAGATCTCTACAATTTATGTCAGCCCCATGTTTAAGTAGAGTTTCGACAATATCAACATGTCCTTCGTATGAGGCCATGTGTAATGGTGTTCTATCGACTTTAGTGCGGGCATCTTTGGAAATGCCAGCTCTAAGTAAGATTTCTGTGATTTCTAAATTGTCATTTTGAGCAGCTAAGTGTAGGGGACTGGTGCCCAACTAAAAACATAAGTAATGTAATAAGTTCATACAAAAAGACACTGTTAAATAAATATTTACCCAGTCTGCGGTAAATGGAGCTCCTTTTGTAAGTAATTGTTTAACTTTATCAATCGTACCGTCTGCTGCTGCTTTTAATAGTTGTTTGCCCAATTCGTTTACAGATACTGAGGGTTGACTTATTAATCGACCTTCCCAATTTATCTGCACAAAAAGATAACAGTTTCAATTTATCAGAAAAAAATAGTAGGTACATTATAATTTTTGGTCAACAACTAACCCATAGTTTATAATTGATTCTACAAGCCAGAGATAGACAGCTTTTAAAACTTTTGGAGAAAGAATGTTATGTAATTCATAGAATTTAAAAATTAATTTTCTAATCTTTCCGGTGACATATTGTATATGATCTTTCCATGTGAGATTTTCGTCAATGAGCACTCCCAAGTATTTAATGTTATTTGATCTTTTTATAGTATTTTTACACTGACAATTATTTGACATGTTTGGTCATGAAGGATGATTTTGTAAAAATTAGATGTTCTAGCCGAAAGAAAGTCAAATTTTTTGTTTAAACATGGCCATCTCTGCCTTTTTTAACGTTATCGGTCAATCCTGCTTATTTATTATGACAGCCGTGTCATCGGCAAAACAGTAGACATTCCCCTCATTGATAGTGGACAAGATACCATCTAGATATATATTAAATAGCAATGGTGCCAGCCAGCACTGTGCCCTGTGGCACATCAAACTCCACTATAAGTTCCTCGCTTAACTCCTTTTGAAATCTAACACGTTGGGATCTACCACTTAAGTTGTTAGCTATACCCCTTATACCAAAGTGATGTAATCTATCTAGTAGCATTTGGTGTGCCACAGTGTCAAAGGCTTTAGCCAAGTCTATAAATATACCAATCACCTTATTCCCCTGATCCAATCTTTGAAAAATTTCACTAGATACTTTGAACAAAGCATCTTCAGTACAGGAACCATCCCTAAACCCATATTGATTTTCATTGATTAAATTATACTTGTTTATAAATGGCAACATCTTAAGCCTAATACATTTTTCTATAATTTTACTAATGGTGCTTGTTAAAGCACCTAAATACATTCTTAATGTATTGAAATGAAATTAAAAAGATTTTTCTTCACTATTCAAAACACTCTTCTGTATCAATTACCATTGGTATAGTTGATATGTGTGAGGTAAAGTGACTAAAAAGTGTGCAAACCAGAGATATAAGCAGTCATTGATAAAATATAATATTCACGATGCCAACATTAATTCGACAATCGATACATTCTATTTCTAGACGCGGGGCGATGCGACGAAAGGTGAGAAGTAAGAGAAGGGATAAAGAGAAGAATTTTACGCAAACACAACTTATTTTTATCAATGAATAAATGTGTAAGCCGCTGCCCGCTTATAATACACAACGTAAATTTCCATGCCGGTGTAAGCCCTGTTCCCACTTCCAATCTAACATCACTACGTTTTGGAATTTATTGAAAATTATTACATCTCATTTAGTGAAATTACATCTAATTTAGTTAAATTTAATATAACTAATATTTAAAATTGTTTGAGTTCAGTTACAATAAAATAGGTTGAATTATTTTAGCTTTTTAAATATATGTAAATAATTTTGTTAACAAAATGAGAATAATGAAATAGGCCATGGTATAAAAAATAAAAGGTAGGATATCAACAGTGTCAAAAATAGGACGGTCACGCGCATGACGTCACGCGTAGAGTTTGTATAGGCGCGAATTTAAAAAGACTGAGGAAGTGTGAGGAAAATATATGCTACTTACAGAAATTACATGAAATATCTATGGATACTATTATGGGATATTTAAGAAAAGAACTATGAAGGAATATGCATGCAAATACATACATAAAAGAAATATTTATTTGAAGAGTTTTTATCCTTTTTCTTTTTTAATGATTTATTTTGGTTATACAAATTCGACTTCTAAAGAATAGTTTTTATAACCAGAATAATGAAAAGGGTATCTTCGCAACTCGAAACTGGGGATCCTGTTAACAATTTCGCATCTGGATATGCCGGACATTTTTACCTGATTAGAATTTGCAACTGGTTACTCATTTACCTGCATTACATTATCTAATTGAATAAAAATAAGTTTAAAAAAAATATTTTTTTGATTTTTTCATATAATATAATGCAGACATTCATATAATATAATGCAAAGCATAAAAAAAATGTACCAAATACAAATAACTGTTACATAACATATGGTGGGTGCATATTCAAAATTAAAATAAAATGTATTTTTCCTGGACATAGTCGCTAACAGTTTTTTAATTCATTCAAGTACAAGTCGAAATTTTCTTTTTTTTTTTGGCGACATTTACAATTTCACTTTTGCTTATGTTGCGAAATTTTTAGCCTTCAAAGGGTAGAGTCTCCAGTTTAGAAGTCCCAAGTTGTGAATGAACCAATGTGATTCACACTGGTTCATTCACAACTTCACATTATGTGAAGTTCTGATTTGAGGTCCCTCTTATAATTGGAAGGTTGAAAGTGCTTGGAATACAAGCATACTACAGAAATGTTACATCAGGATGCGGTTACTCTATATTAACAAGCACATTTTGAACTTCAAAACTCGTAAAAAGCTATGTGAATGTCTAGTTCTTTCACTACTAAATTATTGTAATATTGTTTATTTCCCCTATTTAGATAAGCTCTCCCAAAACCAGCTTCAGCGTGTTCAAAATAACTGCTGTAGATATATATGTAACTTAAGAACATTTGATCATATCTCACATTACTTCTCTTAACTTAAATGATTAAAAATTTGTAATTTGTTCACCTTACATTTCATGAATTTTCTATTCCGATTAATTAAATTCTAAAGTCCGGTATATCTATTTGAAAAAATCATTTTCCGTAATACTGTCCATACACGTAATATAAGACACAATACTCTTACCATGCCCCACCACTCTTCTGCTATGTTTGAAAGATCGTTCACATACAATGCAGTAAGTTTATTCAATACCTTCCAGTTTTTAAACTGGAGTTGTTCACTGCCTAGTTTTCGACTCAATTTAAAAAGATCTTTTAAGTCAACAAAAACGTTTATATCACTGTTTGTGTAAAAAAAGAAAATTTTGTGTTTCATAAATAAATTTTAATTTTTTTGTATAATTCTCTATTTAGGTTAAGTAATGAAAACCTGATAGGTTAAGAGTTAGAATAGCTTGAAGCTAATCTTCGCCTATCTGGTGCAAATGTTGTACATTTGTTCAATAAAGACATTTTTATTTATTTATTTTATATGAAAATTTATCTGCAGGGTCACAAGTCACTGCAAGGGCAGCTCCATGCCGAATTTTCTTGGAAAGAAGGGTATAATGGCCTATTTGGCATATTTTTTTTTTTTTTAATAAAAAAAAAGGCTCATGGATTTTAAGAATTTTAATCTAGGGAAAGGCATGCTCCCCTGGAGCCGCCCTTGGGCCACTTCTCACTTAGCTCTTACTGTCGACGAAAGCGGAAAACCATAATATCTTTCTTGAATCCCTTCCTTTGTTATTGCTACATCCGTACCGCAATTTTTCAATGTTTTTCACTAAAACCACTCACAGAGAACAAAGTCTACAACATAATATAATACAAATATCTGCTTAATATCTTATAAATCACTATAAATGACTCAGAAACTACTGCAACATGCATGAGTCTGTCATGATATTTATTTCGCGCCCACTCTACTACCTCTACGCATGACGTCAGCGCCGCCATGACACCATGCGCGATATGCCCCCCTGGAAATAGGCATATGACAACAGCGGATATTATACCGCCTTAGAATATGTCTTATTCAGGGCCGCACGATATTTGTTAGTAGTTACATCTCCTCCTTATCTCTGGTGCAAACTAATTACTTTTTGCATGGTTATATTGTTTATGTCCAGTAAAGCTTTGATCGTCTATTCAAGTTTCATTCACAATTTTGACCCAAGACATTCCATTTACATTAATTTGCTTATTGACATCAGTGACACTAATTGACAGCTCAAAGGAGGATTAAGTGTTTAAAACTCCTTTAAAAACTTAACTCCTGTTCTGCTTCAAATCACTGAATAAACAATTATTGCACTTACCATTGATTTATCTTGGGCACCTAATTTTTAAAAAGAGTACCTAGCATTTTGAATTGTATTTTATGAATTTACAGTTCGTGGAGCTTCAAATTTTTTGAAATTTATGGACATTTAGAATTTCTAATAAAATACTTTTTATGACCTTTAAATATATACAAGCTAAATTATTCAAAACGAATATATCAACATCAATGACAAGAATAATTTGTTTTTGTTTGGCACACAAATTATGTCACACTAATACAGGGTATTACTGTAAATATATAATTATTTTGTTTCCAATCATTACTGTTTATTTAATATGCCTATTTGTTCCTTAGACCTGAAAATGATAACTATTAGATTCATCAGGCTTTGAAATAGAAAATGCACCTTTAGATATTACAGAAAAGGCTAACATAAACATTAAAATAACAAAGATGAATGAATCTATCCTTATGTTTACATCAAAAATAAAATTGTGTATGGGCTGTACTAAGACTGCAGAGCTTTTGACCTAACTTTAAACCACTTAAACTCTTTTTCTGTCTTTTTATTGATAATAATAATAATTGAGAGATAGTAGAGCAATTTCAAAAACAGCTAACACTCCTATTTTGTACAGTTTTAATGATATGTCAAATATTATGCTTATGAATTAATTTTCTATACAAGCATTTTGTTTTAAAATACTTAATTATCTGTTTATGCCGATGCCTGATGTTTATTACTAAATCAGGCTCACAAATCACAACTTTAAAGCCTTAAAAAATATATTTAGAGGTCCTGTACCTTGTACCAAATCACTTTAATGTAAAAAATTGTACTTGTTTTATTTTAATAATAGCCATATTTTTCAATGCAAAACTTTCAAGACCTATTGCCCTTTAATAACAATAGTTCCATTAACCTGTATTAACAATAACCTATTGAATTTTTGTTATTAAAATTATATTTTGATTTGCATGCTAACTGTATTTCTTTTACCAAATAATTATTATGTACCTAGATAAAGCACTTTTATTTAAATGTCAATCCCCTTAGTTATTTACCTAAAGATTTAATTAGATTACCATATAAATCTGGAGTTTGTTTTCCTGTGAATAGGTTCAATGGAAATTTATATGAAAAGATTATACTAAAACGTTCTATGTAAATGCAATTTGATACCGTTTCTAATGATTAATCAGCGAAAAAGGTACACATACTGGTATAAGTTCAGCTCCATTCAATGTTATTGTATTGTTGTTGGCTAGGGAAGTTGAAATTATATATTTTGCTCGTTGTACATCCTGACCATCGTCTGTGGCCCCTCCAAGTTTTAACATTTCCTGGAAAAGGAAACATTATTTATGTTTGTAAAAAGTAAGGTTAGTTTGGATGAAAATTATTTTTCGGATTTTTTGTTGGTAATTGACAACAGGAAAATCACCATCTTGAATTTGAAGAAGATGGGGTTTCCTCTTCCTGTGGCCGGCGGAAGTGATACAATATGCAGCAGCCATATCTATTGATTTTTTTGGATATCGTTAAATATTTGTTGATACTTATAGTGTGTACTATATATAATAGTTTTTAAATAGATTTTTTCGAAAAAACTCCAAAAAAGCTTACCTGGATAGTCGTAAACAACGTGTCACTAAGATTTTAGATTTCGCCATCTGTCGTTAGTCAAAATAAAACAGAATCAAATCAATGCAAAAAATGGCGGGTTATTCAAATTCAAATATATAAATATTAGTAATGTTTATAAAATTAGAAGTTAGATTCGAATCGTAAATCAACTAATTTTCAGCATTTAATTATGCTTTGTCATTTTATTTACGCAAGCATTATCAATCTTATCAATTATATTTTTTAGACTAGTTTAAATTTTGAAACAAATATTTTTCTTCTATTAAATTCCATTTCATTTAATTAAAGACATTTTCATATCATATGCTTATAAATATTTATAAAAAGAGAGTAGAGACAAATAACGAAAATAAAGAAACTAATATTTTATACCTATGCCGCTAATAAAAATAATACCAAATATTTTCTCAAATACACTAGTAGTTATGCAACCAGTTTAACTTTTTCGCACACCTGTTTAAAAGTAAACTTCTTTTCCCCTACCTGTTCATTGTGATTCAAGACTGGTTTTTATGATTTTATGTGACCAAGGTAGAAATCTGAAGTCAGCCAAGGTTGTGCTACATTTGTTAAAATACTTTTTATTTTTGATTTTAATTGGTTTTTGATACTACCCTACTAATTGACAGGCTCTCTGATACTACAAAATTTAAAGCAGGTAATTTTCACATTATTTTATGTATTAAATATATAGATAACTCTTTTAAAAGGAAACTATTTCACAACAGTTCCTTATTTGGGAAAGCACAAAATGTACAAGAATGAACTAAATTTGCGGGTAATTTGGTTTTCCCACAATAATTCTTGGAATCTATGATTTCACAATTATTTAAAATATAGCTCAGCGGGTTCAGACTTTATCGCTATAACTTTTTTATTTAATAAAATCAACATTTGCTGGATCCTAATGTTTAATAATTATAAATTAATTCATCCTTATATTATATAATATTCATCTAAATTAAAAATTATAACACAGTGAACATCTGGATAACGCATATTTAATTTTTTAAATGTTTACATTAAAAAAAAGGGCATTAGTTGCTGTTGACGTCTCTTCAGGCATTTATTTAGTATCTTCAGGAATCAGTACCAAAATTCAAAAGTTGTGGCTTGTATCAAAAATATAATAATCAAAGGAAAATGATGAATATATATGTGACAAATTATTTTTTTCATTTTAAGTATTGTAGATATTTAAAACAACTTGTGTGGTCTTTTCTTTTAAACATACATAATGGTTTTGATGATTATCTATAGTTTTATGAGGTACCTACCTATTTAAATTGTAAAGGTACTGACACGATTTTTATGTTAAAAAATCGTGATTGTTCTATTTATTTGTATATTTGGTCTACATAACTATTTTACATGTGATCTGTTGATTATAATGAAGAAACATCATCATATTGGTGCTTCATTCTCATCAGATGTCTTTAAGTTAGGAAATAGTAGATAAGGATGATTGATCACAAAAAAATCACCCGACTGAATAATATCTTGTACATATTTAACAATAATAGCTATTTATGCAACCAGTTAGAAATGCCTTATTTTATGTAACGAGTGCGAATATTTGCGGGACGAGTTCATAATGTTCAATTTTATATAAAACTGGTTTATTTTCTCTAATCAGTTGATTACTTAGTTCATAATGCCATCCATTTCATGTAATGCTATAAAGATCTAGTAAGCAAGCTTGTCATGTTATGCGGCATATTGCTTTCGTGATAGTAACTGTAAATTATTGAGCTGCCATTTTTCATTTTAATTTTATAAATTGTAAAACCGAATTAGGTATCAATGTTTTATAGCTATAGAAAAAGTTCAACTCACAAGGAATCTTCATTTCCTACTCGAATGATATACTTTACATATTTCATTTTAAGTATATAATATATATAGTATATAAAAAGTTCTATTGTTAGATCAGTGTACTGTTTTGGAAAGTAGAGGCCGTGAGAGGCCCAAATAAGCCAGAGAGGGACTTAAGGAATTAGAGTAGACTGCACTGGTCGAAAATGGCTCGCATGACAATATATTACTTGCGGATATGCGGATAAAATACATATTTTCTTCACACATCAATTAGTTATGAGAATAATAATAATCTGGAATTTGGCCATCAAATGAACTTTTAATCCACAGCCAATAGCAACTCCTTGTTAAATTTTATATTCAGATTGCGGTAGGGTCCGATTACAATAAGAATAATACAATTGCGTCATCACTTGGCGATCACAGCCTACTGGGTTTAGTATATAGGAATAATTTTCTTAAACCAAACAACTTACTCGTACTTATTCTTTATTTATTGAAATAATGTTTATTGTGTAGTAAATGTCTTTCTTATTGTAATCGGGCTTTTAGTAAAATGACTAAAATGTCAGATTTTCTAACGTTTGAAGAAAAACGTCGTCAAATTCGAATACAAATTTTAATAGAGTTAGTGGTCCACTATTAACTAGGGTTGCCACCTTTTTTAAAAGTGAATAAAGGACTATGATGCTAATAGGGGATCCGGTATACAAAAGGTCCTCCTCCTTTCTACTGAACTTCTAAAAAAAAAAACAGGTCAACAAGTGTGTAACAAAAAAATCCACGTCCTTCTGCCAAGCTTCTAGAAAAAAACTGCTTCTCACGTTCTCACCTTGTATATTTTTGTTCAAGCCAAGATATCAAAGAGTAAAACAGGACATATGCCGTAAAAAAGGACATTTTAAGCTTTAAAAAGTCGCAAGGAAATTTGCTTGAAAAAAGGACAGCCCCATTATTAACTCAGTTTTGTAGGATATAATTAGGCCTTTTCCTTTGCATCGAAAGTGTAGAGGTAGCACTGAGCTACACCTCTTCTGAAAATATCGTTCCTTTTATACAAATTGTATGGATGGAACGATATAGAAGGTATATAGGTATATAAATAGGTCTAAATAGACATATTTTCATCCCTAGAAACTGGTCTAATTTATTACACACCTTTTTGGGACTCTCGGTAGATAAATGTATCACTTTATACCCTTAATACACAAATAATAACTATGTACTTTTATATATTGTAATTTTTTTTATTTCAGCATGAAAATAATACTGCTTTTATCAATTCTCCAATATCTTCATCTCGCATATGGATCGGTCAATAGATGTGGCTCACCGACATTACAAAGATGCTTCTGCGGTCATCAGTTCTTCGATGACAAATCGATGTTTGTGGTAAATTGCACAGGACTCGGATTTAAAAATGCGGATATGCTCAACGAACTTACAGAAGACACCGAAATGTTAGTCTTTACAGGAAACCACATCGGGACTCTTCCTAGTAACGTTTTTGGGGAAGGCAGAAATATGACGAAATTAAGGTAACTGGAAATATATAACAATAGCGACAGCAATGTTGTTTTTATTTATAAATAAATAAATAAATAATTAAACAACACAAGACAAAACAAAGGATATATATTTTGCAGAATTTTAGTTGTTTACTAGCAGAGACAATCCAGCGAGACGTGTAACTCAATGTATTTTTTTTGTTCGGTAAAAGTTATTTGGGCGATTGTAACCACAACCAGTCTATGATGGCGCCACTAGTAAATAGCGGGAAAATTAAAAATGCTTTAGGGCGGGAAATTCAAACATGGATTCAGAAATAAAGTTTTTCTATACAAATTTACAGGAGAAACAAAAACTATTGTTTCACTGTATATTAAAAAAATATAAAAGCTTCCAATAACATCAAATTTTTTATCACATAAATAATCATTTTAATAAAGGAAGTTTTAATCAGTTTAATATAAACAGTGAACATAGTTTTTATTACTCTTGTAAATTTCGCTAAAAAAAAACTTGAAAATTCTATTGATTATTAAATATTTAAACTTGGAAAAATAATACACCAAACTCTTTTTCTATAAATTATATTTTTGTAAGGTACAGAAAAACAAACTACAATTGCTTCGTTTAGAAAGTACCTCCTATCATTTTGTGACAAATTACAAAGAAAGTAACAGTTGTTATATATTCATAATATATTTAAAAACTAATGTAACAAATATTTTATGAAGTATAGTAACGATAACTTTTTGCCAGACTATCATAAGTGCCATTTGAACAAATGTCACTTATGTTAGTCTGGCAAAAAGGTATGGATATGTTATGACTGTTTATTTTAATAGAAACCATGGAAACGAAACACACCTACACTCAACACAAATGTATAAGGCCCGAGTCAAGTAAGTTCCCATCCTGTAAACTGGATCGAAACCTGCTAGACCCCTGCTAACTCCTCTTATAGTAATCAAGATCAATATATTTATATGCCATGCCTTCTAAAAGGGAATGAAGGATAACATACTATCATCATTTAAACAGGACGTTGCTGAAGGCTTACCCCTGTTATTTCGTTTGTTTGTGTATCTTGTGTGTGTGCATTCCTGTTGTGTCCCCAGTCATGTAAAAGTTTTCCTAGTCTCCTAATTTGGTTACTAGGTGGACCTTCTCCAACTAGTAGTCTAATCTACTCGATATGTTCGGAAGCAGGAGGTACTTTTCAAACATAGCAAATAATAAACACTATTTAAAGATAAATACATTTTTGTAATTTTTTGTCATTGCCCCTTAACTTTCTCTTACAGCACCAGGGTATACATATTTTCCATATTCCCTTAATTATAGTTTACCTTACAATGTTCGAATGAATATAACATTTTACTCATGAAAAATCTAATTTCATATTTAACTCTTTTTCAATTTCATTTGAAACAATAATTGGTACCTATATTACAATTTATTATCAAAGAAAATTTCTAATAAAGTTATAGCAAATCCTACTTAAACTACTGGTTGTTCTGCAGGAAAAATTAACTTTTCTTGAGATTGATCTCTCTATAAAATCCAAAACCGACCTGATGTCCCCAAATTTATTTTCCAATGCATCCTGATTTAAAATTCTGCCCTTTTGTGATTCAATTTTTTTTTTCTTCCTTTAGAGTGGCTGTTAGAGGTAGGTGTATGTAAGAAATAGCTAATCTCTAATCATTTCAAAAGTCCTTTGCCAATACTACATGTGCAGATTTTTTACTCAGCATACATCTTACTTTTCTAGTAGATAGGAACTTTGTGCTGCCATTAAAGCTGTCCAGACATTCATCTACCTACTTAATGAACACAAATAGCTGTAACAATGGATCTCTGTTCCAATTCACCTAAAATAATTATAGTCATTGTGTAATATATTATTAAACACACACATTATACAGTGGTTTTCTTAATAAATTGGAAATTACTTACCTCTAGAAAGAAATGTGTACAAAAACGCGAGTTTGGTTCCAGAAATTGCTTCATGCAAAACATAATATGCAAAAATAAACATTCCCCCCAAAGAAAATTAATTAAACAACAAAATCAGACTAAAAGAAATATACGGGGCCCAAATTAAATTAATTTTAATAAAATGCACATGTTCATAACAACATTCATAACATTGTCAGTTGTCAGTTTTAATACTTTTAATTGATATTTCTACGTCAAAAAACCAGCAACACCAGCGCCCTCTGAAAATGGTGTTAGTTTTATTGGAGAGAGATAGACATATGTAAAGATCAATGTAAAAGAAAAAGAGGGTCATATATGTAATTTAAATGGACCACCGAACATATTTTCCTATTAAGTTACACGTCTCTGTTGTCTCTGTTACTAGGTACATATTATAGAATATTTCGTAACTGAAACCCGTCGATAGTTGAGCCACAAGAATAAATAATAACCAGAAGGATATCTCTCATTTAATTCCTTTGTAGTTGATGCCGACGAGCTATGATCTCGTCTTTTGGTTATTACTTGTATTCCATAGGCGCACCAAAAAAAAGGTCAGGAAAATAAAAAAAATATTGGGTAGCTATTGATTTATTTTTTAAGTTCATACATTACAATAGGTAAGTAAAAGATTTATATATATAAAAATATTTACTTATCTTTCCAAATGACAACCTTTTTGTCTTTTATAGTTTTAAAATTTCGGTTAATACATTTAAGAGTATAAAAGAATCTTACTCTACCGAAAAAATTTATTAAATAATTATGTGGAAATTTTTCACATGGATGTGAAAAACTTGTATTTCTACAAATACTTTGAAACGTATCTATTACATTTTTGTGTATAATAATAGTTTCAAAATTTATTTGAAATATTACCTCTAAAAAGGAGATAAATTTTACAAAATCATTGTGTGGCATGTTTAAGTTACCAAATAAATCTAAATTGGAGCTATAAGCTTTATAGTATAAAAATAAAGATGTATCGTCCAAATTTTGATAGGCTTTTGAATATTCCTCGCAAATTGTACAAAAATGTATAGATAGGCATTTTTTTCATTAGGTAACCCGCAAAATACCTTTCGAAATTCGTTTCTAACGTGGACTCTTTTTGATAACTGCTATCAATTTCTGGCAAATTTGATGTATGGGGATGTATATGAGCTACGAATGAATTTGTATCCTCTTTAATGACATCAGATACTCGCAGAAGCATATTATCCATGTCATTCTCGCAGTTTTGAGTTCCTGAATTGAGTAGCTTTACACAGAACAACTTTCTAAAGGTTCTTTAAAATTGAATGGCTGTTGGATTAGCACAATTACTTTTTTGCTGTCTTATAAGACCAAACAAATTTTTTAACGGATCTTGGTTTAAACGTCTAGTAAAAAGTAACAACGTTTTTTGTTTTAAGAAAATCCCATAAATAATGAATGTAGCTAATTGTTATTTTAAAACATGTTATAAACTTCATTTTTTTAGTTACATTCTCGCCTATAGGTTATTAAAAACTGTTAAGTTGTTCAACAGCAATAACATCTCATTTAAAAATGTCAGTTGAAAGTCGAGACCCAAAATTGCTATCATATAAAAAAAGAAAGTCCAAAGGCTATAGCGGAAAAAATCCGAAACACTTTTGGGAAATAAAAAAAGATTTATTATTTAGTTGTTTTAACAAGTAGTCATAACAAATTAGATTATCTAAGGTTTTGAGGGATTAAAAGCATTATAATTTTTTAAATTAATCTATTTTCGATTGAAGAACTGGTTCTTGTTCGTAGAAAAAATAGGGTATGCAACTCGTAATGGCTATTAATACATGATCGTTGCATAATATACTATTATTAAGATATACCCTAAGTACTATGGGGCAACCCACCCTCCCTTAGATTAAAGATACAGAAAATATCCCGAAGTAACAGCTAATTTAAAACACCCTGTATTTGACTTATATATTATACTTTATTTATATTATATTTCAACAGCTTGAGAAAATCTGTAAAATGAATGTGCACCGATATAAGATTTATTTTTGCAGTCTTTATAATTACAAATAAATCCAGCTTTTTTTGTCTTCTTCCATAAATCACACTGTCATTAAAGCACAACAAAATTAGAAAATACTCAACGATAAAAATATTTAAGCAAAATAACAGAAAAAACAGAATAATAATAATTATAAATTCACGGTTTCGATACCACCGTCCGTGCCGGTCGCTACTGCACTGAAAGTTTCGGTGTGGAATATCGGTGTAGGTGTGCTTGAAGGTCACGAGCCCTCGAAGATTACGTGATCGGAGATATCCTTCCGGTTATTATTTATTCTTGTGGCTGAGCCCTAACGCTCGGCTATGTAACGCTTATTCGGGCAAACCCGGCTCGAGTCGATTTTAGCCAAGCCGGAGAGAAACAGTGATATAGCAGAATTTAGTACACAGTCATAATTATTGTATATGCATATTATTACTTGATGAATATAGCAATAAAATAAAATTACTGATAATTATATAATATTAATCTTTCTTTGTTTCTGATTCTCCCAAAAGATAAAAGCGTACTAAAATAATTTTCTTTTTATTATATAGATTATAGATATATAATATATTACATAGAAATGTCAAATAAGTTTTCACTTCTGACCCATATTTATAGTAAATGCTCAAATTTGCGGCACTCAGCTATAGCATAGTGAGATAGACGACCATCAGTGAACGTTTTTCGAACTTTTTCAATAACTTCCAAGAGTTATTTGCGCCATCTTGATCCGTATGCGTTATTTGGGTATACTTTACTTATACCATTAAAATCAAGAGAAGATAAGTCTGGCTATCTAGGTTTCGATAGATTTTCTTCGCCCAATCCACCTATCTACAACGACGTTGAAGTTATTTCTTACACAGACAGCATAGTGTGGTGGCCACAAATTATTTCTGTTTAGGAACAATCGATTCATGCAGTTCAGCTATATAGCAAGAAATTTTGCATAAATTCTAAACATCGTAGGGCCTTTCAGGGTTTGATTGAAAAAGTATGTTATTATCTATTATT